ACCTTCGGGTCCCGCTTATTTGGAAGAGAAAAGTGTCACTCGGATTCCTTGTGCAGTGTTTTACAGGCATACACAAGTTAGAAACCTTGCAGTCGTTAGACTCATGCAGCTAAGCGATGAACCGAGCTACTTGTTGACCATCAGGTCATGCTCTTCAACATCCATGAATGTCTTGAAGCCTGGGGCTGCGAAGACATCTGATGAGCCCAGGTTTCAAGGTTTAGAGGGCAAAACGATTTGTCTCAGGTAGTTCTCTGGCAACTGCGTCGCGAAGTATCGGCTTGAAGATCCGCTTAGTAGGCTATGTCTTTCCGACCCACTGGATTCTCTGGAGTGGAATGTACGCGACCTTGCAACATTCAAACAGCTTCCGACATTGCGGGACCACCGCTAAATCTCCCCGGTTTCGCTGTACAGGAGTGGGCGACTAGTGGTAAGCGACAAAGTTGGCAATATTTCACTCGCGCCGAACTGGCGCCCAGCTAGCGCCAAATGCGACCTACAAAACACGAAATAAGCAGTTTCAAGCAACAATCGCACAACGCTGCTGCAAAGGTTTGCAAACCAAAGTACGGTTGAAGACATTTGTGCAGAATCCAGCTTGCGGCTACGGCCTTCGGGGTCGGAACGACATAGCCTACTAAGTGGATCTTCAAGCCGATACTTCCCGCGACGCAGATGCCACAGAACTACCTGAGACAAACTGCTCTGCCCTCTAAACCTCAATCGGTGACAGAAACCTGCGCTCCTCGGAAACTTCTCACCCCCAGGCTTCAAAGGAACTCATGGTTGTGGAAGAACATGACGGGTCCACAAGTGGCTCGGTTAATCACTTAGCTGCATGAGTCTGACGACTGCAAGGCTTCTAACTTGTGTATGCCTATAAACACTGGACAAAGAATCCGAGCGACAAGATGGAAGAACGATGTCGTGGACATGACGGCCCACAAAGTTAAACCATCATCGGTCTTTTTTTGCAACACCAACCGATGGGAAGGGGAGTGGCTTCGCTGATGCAATCGATACTGATACAACCGAAACAGCATGCCTCAATGTTTCAACCGAAGAACGAAGTAGTAGACATGAGCTCCGTGCCGTGGATGCCACGTTGCCGCCTTGTCAGCCTCGCAACTGCAGGTACGACAGACTTCGGCATCGGAGCCCGTACAAGGCTGTGATATCTCACCAAATCACAAAGCACTCCAACATACATACATACATACATACATGTATATATACATATATATAAACAAAACTGTACACTGTATGACGATATACCTTGTTGCTCTAGCGCCAAACTATCGCTAAGCTAGCGCCAACATGGGGATTAACTAGCCCTAGTTCGGGCCCCGCCTCATTCCGAAGAGTAAAAAACACGCTCCAAAGATCATTATGGCCACCCTACTTTCCACTCTTCAACCGCAATTAAAGGCAACCTCCCGCTGGTTTTTATAGTGGGGCCATCGTCTCTCAAGGACCTATTACCTTTGTGACTATTCTACTAGTAGCAACTTTCTTCGGATCCAACAACAAAAGGATCTCGGGTGCCTGCATTTCCAGATCTCCATAATCCTCTTCCGGTCTTTCCAGAAGACTAGACCTTTACACATATGTATGCAGCTTAATGTTTCTTGATTTCCGGCAACAATATTTAAACATAGCAGAGCTTTTATGTCGGTATTATTTATTTATCGTCTTAAACTTATAGCTATATCATATTCCAAAGTCATCAACATAATTAATATGTAAGGGAAATGTGCGCACAATCTGTGCTTTTGTCTGTCTTGACAAGATTCCGGCTGGATAGAGGGGCTTTCATTCCTTGATCCCCACTTAAGCTCTAACGACAGACTGCAACATGCATCAACGCAAGGTCATCCCTCCGAGGATACTGCTTGTCAGCATAACTCTCATGGTTTTCGAAGCCAGAGCTTGACATCTGGACTAAGTCACTAAGTGCGGGCATCATCTCCCTGCGTGCTCTACAGTGGTACATACTTCAACCTCGAATCCTTATCCAAGTGCCTCAACATTTGATGCAAAGTCGCGTCTTTCTTGCACCCTGCCTGGCTGAAGGGCACTGATACGCCTTTGACTGCCAGGTCCAGGTGATTTCGAGTCATGCCAGGTGCGTGAGTCACCACTCCATCACAGTCGAGCCAAGACCAAGAGTTCCGGCAGTGGTGTAATGATCAAACTGTCCTACAGCTTTGGTTAGTTTGAGGACTGGACACAACCATGTGTCCGACATGCTGCGCGAATCAGCACCGTGCACAACCCGGACTGCTGGAACTGATGTTGCTCCCAAGGTGAACCGGTTACCGGACACCCCGATGCCTGCACTATGACTGCATCAGCCTCAGCTGAGCCCGTCCGATAGTGCACGGACAGGTTTTCTTGTAAGCTGTTGCTGAACGCTGCAGGATGTCCTGCTGCTCAACCACAACTTAAAAACACGCGAGGCCTCCTGAGTCAAGGATCCCTGAATGTAGACTGTGCCAACTTGATCACATCACTGCGAAGGGCATCTCTGCGGGATACTCGAGCGAAGCCACTGCCAGGAAAGAACTTGGCCAACGACCATGGGTCGGTCAAAGAAGCGTGTGCAATGCAACCATCTGAGGCAAATTGACCTCCAGGACTGGATGTTCGTGAGGCCCCTGTGAAAGATCACATGAGTGCAAACCATGCACACACACACACACATCAGAACACCTCGCATGACGGGTGGAGGGAGCATGCTAGTCGACTTGCTACGTCTTTACTTTGACTCCAACATGTGCTGAAAGCTGAGACGAAACTTGGGATCAAGCTGCAGGAGCACCCGTCGTGAGACGGTCACGTGGAAGAGCGAAATGCCTAGCTCTTTCTCTGAACTACACCAAACCTGAGACTGTGAGAGTGTGCAAGGATCTCCGCTTGGGATTCAAGCTGTGCGGAATCAAAATTTTGGGAGATTTGGGTGATGAACAAGAATGGCGACCCAAAGCACGATGTCCAGACTTGGCAAAGTACCCGACCGATGGCCAAGCGAGGCACAAGCTGCAATGAAAAACTTAAAAACCATGGAAAGGCCCAAAAGCAGCTCCGAGCATCATGCATCCATGATGCATGGAGGTGTGGCTTGACCCGTTGTCATGGGCAACGGCCCTGTCGCGAATTGCCTCATGTCACTAGAGTGCTGAAGCTGGTCTGTGGATTATCCACCTCCAAGACAGGTTGAGGCATTGAGGCAATTCAAGCAAAATTTCCAGCAACAAAAACGGGGGAACCTGTGCTACGTAGCCGCTGCTAAGCCCTTGTGCAACACAAAGCAATAGCAGGGTCAGAGCGGGGAGCCTGCTCGGGGAGCCTTGCGGGAGTGACAGCAACTCTGTAAGCACCCTGTCGCCCTGTGTCCCTGTGCACTGCTCATGCTGGCACTTCCGTCACGATCGACCTTCTGCAGCCAGCACGACCCCATTATGATTCTAGCATTGACGTTTCACCTTCAAAGTTGTGCCCGAAGGGGCTCGACTGCTTTTATTGCGCGACGACAGTCTAACCCTATGGTGCTCGAATTGCAGTGCATCGGCCACTGCGATTCGTCTGTGACATCTTCCCCTTTCTTTAAAAGCATGGATGTCTCAAGCTCTGAGACCGATATATGGAAACGCTGGTGTGGGTTGGGGCCGAGCATATGCAGAAATATCTGGACTGGGAATCTTGTGCTCAAGCTCTGCCGCAAAAACATGCAGGCGGCGTGTAGTTCTCCGCGGCCTTGGAAATACAGATGCAATTTTTCAACCGAAACTCCTCACTTCTTGTGCTCTTATCACTCGTAGCAGCCTCGCGCAGTTGGGCGACAATCCTTTGGGCAGGCGGCCGCTGTTGCTGGTTGACCTGGGATGTTTGCAAACGAGATTGCGAGGTGAACCCGTGCTTACTAGAAGCGACATGACCGATGTGGCCTGTCGCACAGACGTTCTCAGTCGATTTTTCCTGCTGCAGCAAAGCCTGCACTAGAACCCGTCGAAGCATCGACGCAGTTCGGCTCGGCCGAGGCATGCTGAGGCGGAGACATGCCAACTTTCGGCCATTGGCCTACGCAGCGCAGCGTGGCACTCGGCAACGTTTGGCCTGGTCCAAGCATGAGTGCCCTCAAGGAGGCAGCAGTTCAATTCAGGGTATACCGAGTGGTCCGTATGATTCTATTGTTTGCAGCTCAACGGATTCAAAGCAGTGATCTCCCGGCAGCACTCTTTCTGAAGCCAGCTCAGTTCCTCGAAGGGCACTAAATGATCAAATCGACATGATTCACACAACTCGACATTAAATGATACCACTATGTGTACAAGCCTAGCTGCAAGATGCTGCAAGCAGACGTCTACTTGTCTGGATCAGGTTTCGCACTGTGCGGCTTGCTGCCGGAGCAGGTCAGTTTGCCTTGGTTCCTTGCCCTTGGCGAACTCTCTCAAGACCTGAGACACGCTACTGACCGCCCAGCCGTGGTTTAGACATGCAGTATCACGCAATGCTCCTGTCAGGTCGACTGGCGCATGGTCCAGCACCAATAATCATCTGCGAGGTGCGACTTCTGGATCTTTCGATATCTCGTGGAAAGGGTGTCGTCCGGAGCTCATAAAAAACCTGTGAGCAATGGCACCCTATGCAGCATGTGGGTCAAACGGGATGGACAGAAGCATCGGCGACAGTGACCCGCGTGGTCACGGATGCATGTCCTAACATGTTCCTGGTGCACATTCAAGCTCTCGGCCGAAATCGAACATAGGACAACACACACGCACCACATACTGACAACACTCCCTAAATTCAGTCATGCTGCATAATGAGGGCAAAGGCATAGATGTCCACCTTCTCCTAAAAATGTGCAACTCCAACATGCGATCACCAAGCAACACACTAGTACACACGCAACCTGGAAGTGTCTAATCGAGGACTAGGGCACCTGCAGAAAGTCAGTGAGTGTAGCATGCAGTAGGACTTGAACGCTCTTGAATAGAACGAAAGCTTTACTGATTCGCATCATGCCGGTCAGAGGTGACCTCTGCAACGCCCGATTTAGGATGTACATGGATGTACTATGGCTACTACAGCCGAGCGGTGGCCGCCCGAACCCTGAACCAGGGGGATGGGGGACGCTGGCACGCGAGATCAGGATAAAGGCCTTATCGAAAGGCAGACGGTCCGAGCCATGAGGAATTACTTGGACAAGCATGGTGCAAGTCCGAGACACCATTTCCCATGATCTTCCACCGAAACGAACGAGACACGATCCCTCTATAACTGAGCGAATCACCGAAAGCCTTTTCGCAGTTCCCATGGAGCACCATTCACAAACCAAGCGATGCATGAGTGAGTGCAGACCAAGGTTCGTTGTATTTCTGGTGCCTCGTCAGTGCGCAGATGTGCGCAGTTTAGGCACGACCGCGTTTGATTTTTGCAGGGAGCATCTTCACGACTGGCTAGGCGGCTGCAAGAGGCCTATGCTATTCGGCACGCTCAGAGGGAAAAAACTCGCAAAGATGCCTGACGACTTCGGGGGCCATGTACAGCCAACTGCCAACTCCACCGGTCATGATGTAGACGTCGCCAACCACAGCTGCCCTCGGTGTGAACACCCTCATTCCTCTTGCTGTGCCAGCGTGCCGAAAAAACACAGCTTGTGAAGTTGGTAGATCGACGACCGAGCAGTTGCATCATGCTGTATGTTGCCTCCAGCTGCGAGTGAACTTGTGAACCGTGTCCCAAAACTTTAAACAAACAAGGCTCATCATCTTGGAAATGCCAAGGTCTGCAATCTTGACTTCGCCGTGTCTCGTCCTCAGTCAATAGCTTGACCCTAGCTTCTAGCTTGCACATCGAAAGCGCCTTACAGGTGTGGAATGCGCTTGTCGAATCGAAGGTGAGCTGCAGCAGCAGGTTTAGCGGCTTCAGGTCGCGATGCACGATGGGCTCCTCTCCTGGCCAAGCTGACCCCGCACCAATGTGTGAAAGTTGCACGGAGTTCCAACTCCACGGACCACAACAGGTAGGCCCAGGTGCGCGAGTGCAGGAAGCTGAGCCCACGTGCAACCGCCTGCAGCATTGGTTTCGTCATTCGTCGTCCCAAGCTTGTAGCAATCTAGTCGTGTTGGCTCGTATTACTAGTATCTACTTCGGACACGATTCGCACTCACCTGAAATGAAGAAGGGAAGTTGGGGACGGCAAAGCTTACCAGGAGCGGCTAGATTCTGAACCCATACTCACATCATTGCCGAGGAGCTAAACTCCAATCCAGAATTTGACGGAATTGTGGTCGCCAGGTCGGTGTTTGATGCTTCTTTCGCATGGCCTCAGGCGACAAAAACTTCTCTCTTTCGTTGGGCCAAGCCCCCCTTCAGGGTTTCACGCTTGCTGCTTATGGCTCTCTCTCCCCCCCTCTATCTCTCTCTCTCTCTCTCTCCCTCTCTCTCTCTCTCTCTCTCTCTCTTCTTCCCCGGGGCTTGAAGGGCTGGTCAGGCCCCTCGCCCTTATAGGGCCCCCCGATGTCTGTACGGAGGCTTCTGGAGGGGTGTGAAAGGAAGGACAGTCTGTTGTGCTAGGTTTGTCTCGGGTACTTGATCGGACTTTCTTAGCTACCAGCTGAACAGGATACCATAGAGCATCCCGACATAGGTTCATAGCTAACGATCTTTCCCCGATTTCTGCTACTCGGGCTGATCTGACCTTCGTGCTGCACACCTTCCTGGGTTTCTAGAGGAACTTCAAGTACAAGGAGGGCATGCGCGATACATAGTGACATTCCTCTGGTGTGCAGGGTCAAATCAGGCTGCGAGCGCTGCTTGGAAACCTGGCTTCCCCCTGTCGTCAACAAGCCCAATGGAAAAGCATGCAGTAGTGAACTTGCAGGAACATAACACACATACTCCCATTGCGGGAAGCCAGCGATGCCGTGTTTTGCCCCTATGTGTTCAGGTGTGTTTCACCATGCGGCTGGGGTTGTTTGGAAACAGAAGGAAACAATATACACCATATGATGTGTCTACGAATCAGCTGAAAGCTACTCGTACCCCTGCTGGTTTCTGCACCTGAGAAGGCAAACCTATCCTACCCAAGAGGTTCTGGCGCTTCACTCTTCCTCAATTCATCTCGATGTCGGTGTAACAGCCCCGAGCTCGTTTCTCCCGCCGGCCCCTCTGGCGGCATTGTTTTTGGTGGCGTCCGGGTCGGCCCCGTTGCTTCCTCCTCTGGCCTCATCTCCCCCTCCATGGCTTGGTTTTTGTCACGACCCTCATTGGTTCAGCTGGCGAAAACTGTTCTCTTCGGTTTGCTTAATTAGCTGTCTGGTTGCAAAGGGCCAGCCTCCCCAATGAGTTCTTTGCTGCTGTAAGCCTTCTGAGTGAATGTCCTGGTCTGTCTGATGAAAAAGTTCTGTGGCAGGCAAAAACGTGCTTGAATTAACGGCCCCCGCGTATCTGTTGCACGCAGGTGGCACACCTCGGATTGGTTTGTTGGTAGGTAGCATGCACCCCCCTTGGTCTCTGCCCTGACTCAGGGGCCCACCCCTAATTCAGCTGGCTTCTACCGGGAGCCTGATGGCATCCTTGTTCCCGGGAGTGGGCTACGCAAACCGCGCCGCCCTCAACCCCCTTCACCCCCGCGTTAACGGGAGTTTTGGTGGGCTGGGACTTTAGGGCGCGCCCGTACACACCGCCAAGAACGTGCCAGAACCCCTTTGCCGTACGAACACCTGTCTTAAAGGCGGCCATGGCCAGGCCGCAGCTTTGGCAGTCTAAAAGCTAAAGTGCGTCTTACAACATACCCACTGCGTGTCCTGGCAACGACTTGCAAGCCTGAGCACCCCTGAAATAGCACCCCCAACTCGGGAAACTCTCTCTCTCTCTTCTTCAGCACAGACGGAAGGAAGCACAAGTTGGTTCGTGCCCCTCTCTCTCTCTCTCTCTCGCTCGCTCGCTCCGCCAGGAAAGAGGAAAGGGGCAGAACATGCTTACTAAGGCTGTCCTTCTGGGACGCGTTCTTCTTGCAGACGCAGGGTAAGGGAGATGCTCTTACGGCTGTCAACCCGTCAGATGTAGTGATCGGGAAACGGTGTCAACTACTACTGCATGCCCATTTGCAACCAACTGTCCAACGGCCAGCCACAACCATTGAACGAATCAGTGCTTCAAACCTTGCGCAAGAACGCACGACCTCGTCCAACATCAGTCGAGATCGGGCGATGCAATGCATAAGTTTTCTGCACAAGTCACCATGAAGTGACGCTCCAGATCTCCACCGGGCATGTACTCTGTGACGCACATCACAGGAGCGTCCTATTGACACATACGACATGTGGTCCCTGTCTATCGCGCCCCGTGCGTTGGTGTGTCGGACATGTTAATCCGTTGAGCCAAGCCCTAGATTCATTGCTTGGCAAATTGACGTCTGCGCCAAGACCCGCGGCATGCGCCAGCCCTGTGAGAACGAACCATCATAAAAGCCGCTTCAAACGAGCAGGAACCCCGCGAGTCCTTGTCCAAGCACGCCCCAATAAACCTGAAATCAAGGACGTTATGGGAGCGTGCTCGATGTGCATTGAGACACATTGCGAGTCTCATATAATGCCAAAAAATGCAACGAGCAACCCTGCCTCTGCCTGCACATGGAGCACTGTGCTGGGCAAACCGCTTTGGCGATTGCACCAATTGCAGGTGCAGGCAAGGAGCAGGACCAAGTTTGGGTGCCGCAAAGAGGAAAGAAGTTCGATCTCGTGCAGCAACTCTTCCAAGAGATCCTGCAGCAGCGCTGTTGAAGCAACGGTGCTGAGACAAGGGTTTGATATGAAGCCGCTTGAATGAACTTGGCGCAACTGCAGCCCGGTACCCTTACCCTTTTCTTTCGATTCGCCGAAGTTCATCCATTGTCTGGGGGTCTGCCAGACTCTCCCTCTCCCTCTCTCTCTGCCGCTGCATCCAGATGGTCATTCGTGCCTCGGAACATGTTAACCCTTTTGGATTTCATGCGGCGAAGTTCGAGAATACGTCGAGACGGGAAGCAAAAGCTCCTCGGTAAAATTCAGCTTGCAGCGAACAACCAGCTCGGAACTTTGACAAAACATAGCCTCCGCACTTGCGATACCAGGAGGTGATGAAAATGTCTACCAAAAGATCCATCGCTCCGTGACTTTGTTAGCCTGAAGTAGTTCTCTGCAACTTTCGGGAAACTCTGCTCGTGATTGTGCCCCACTCGTCAGAAGCCTGGTCGACCTCCGAAGCATGGAGTGGACGCGACGAGGTGGGATCGAAGTTCTCCTGGAGACAGCAGCTTGTGGAGTGGGAAAAAACTCAGCGTTTGAGCTCGAAGCCCTCTGTACAACGGCAATATCAAGACAGAAGAGATTTCATCAATTTCAATTTGTTTGGCGGTGTGCCTCCCTCTGCTAGCAACAACAACACCAACATCACTAGAACAATAGAAACAACTACAACTTCTCCTGCTACCACTCCTACTACTCGTACTCGTACTCGTACTCCTACTTGTCCTGCGACGACCACGACGACGACGACTACTACTACTGGGACTGCCACGACGACCACTCCTACCGCCTTCTCGTATCCAGCCTGCGCTCTAGCAGTATTCGCAGCAGCCGGCGCAGTGGTGGTGGTGCTGCTGCTGGTGGTGGCAATTGGTGGTATGTGTGGCGGTCGCAGTCGAAGGAGGAGGAGGAGTAGCAGCAGTAGTGGTGCGGGTAGCAAGAGCTGCAATAGGAGCAATAACAGTAGCAGCAGCAGCAGCAGAGGCAGCATTACTAGCAGTAGTGGTGGTAGTAGTAATCGTCGTCGTGGTGGTACTGGTAGTGCTAGTAGTGGTAGTGGCAGTGGTAGTGGAAGTAGCAGAAGTAGTAGTAGCAGAAGCAAAAAGCAGTAGCAGCAGCAGCCGGAGGAGTTTTTGCCTCCTGCATGTCTGAGTACACGAAGCAGGGTGACAAGTACCAATGTAGTGAATTCATTTACTCCGCAATTTTTTGTGGAGCGGATACTACAAAGCTGTATACCAGTCAAGCTCTCGTTTCGAGATTGCCATCCCAACATTGTTCTGGGCATCTCTGTGGCTGCCCGCTTCAGGAAAAGGCCGTCATGCAATCGATTTCAAGTTTTTCAATTAACTGATTACAAATTCCATTGGCTTCTCCAGTGAATTCCAGGCACCGCAGTCCACTTGCTTTGTGCGCCCTCCTCACTTCAACCAAGCGAAAATTCTGAATGCAGGCGTTCAAAAGCTAGTTTTATTGGGTCTACTGGAGCCAGTAGCGGCTTTTCGACTCCACAAACTTTCATGAAAATACCAGTAGTAGTAGTAGTAGTAGTAGTAGTAGTAGTAGTAGTAGCAGCACTAGCACTAGCACTAGCACTAGCACTAGCACTAGCACTAGCCCAGCCCTGGCCCTGGCCCTGGCCGTAGCACTAATAGTAGTAGTAGTAGTAGTAGTAGTAGTAGTAGTAGTCGTAGTCGTAGTCGTAGTCGTAGTCGCAGTCGTCGTCGTAATCGTCGTCGTAGTCGTAGTCGTAGTCGTAGTGGCAGTGGCAGTGGCAGTAGCCGTAGCCGTAGCAGTAGTAGTAGTAGTAGTAGTAGTAGTAGTAGTAGTAGTAGTGGTAGTGGTAGTGGTAGTGGTAGTGGTAGTGGTAGTGGAGGGCCTGCGAGTGCTCAAGACACTCTTGGCCTTGACGCGGGGCGGGCCATGGTCATCTGTTGTGGGGTCCGGCCTTCCCGCGCACAGGCACCCATGGTCTGAATTCTTGCCCGCTAATTTTGGGCCAGCACCCACCCTTAAGGCAGATGTCGGCTTCACCGGCGTTCCAGAAAAAGTGGAAAGCTGCTCCTCAGCACGCTTTTGAGGCTGTGCTTGCGGCCGGGCAGCCGGCCTTCAACAGAGGCTAAGCGGCCTGAATTCCGACACGATCATGAACAGAGGCTGTGGCAGGCGGCACGAGGGAACTGCCCATGCGAATATCGCAGGTACCTCCTTCATCCGTTTTCGGAGCAAGGCCAGTGGCACGTTTTGCTCCGAGGCCTCGTGCTAGCCACCAACCGTGAAGTAAAACGAAACACAGAAATCGCTAAAAGCAAGGATAAAAGAGAACGAACCCTGATTTCCAAGGCCAATCAGCCCCTATGGAAAAGAGCTGCCTATGGCTTGAGCAGTTGCTTCACTGGACAATTCACTTGACTGTCTTTGCAACCTCCGTCACCCTCAGTGTGAGTCATTTCGTCCAATACTTACGAACTGGCAGCCGGTGGGTCGTACTCAGAAGAGCCGTCTCCCAAAGTTCCCGTCTAGTGGCGTCCCACACGAGGTAACTCCGGACTGCCAGCGATGGGCCGTAAGGAAGGCTGCTCGTTGACCAAAGCACATAAGCCGTCACTCCTAGCACTGCCTGACCTCGTCAGTAACAGGACAGTAATGAACACAACTGGGAGGGCCGTAGGCGAAGCCCGCCACCCTTGGCACTGCAAGCGCGTCCGCTTTGCGACTGTACCCAGATGTGACGTGGAGCCGTACCAAAATACCAAAGTGCTGGGTCAAACTGACTCTCCGCGACTGTGTCGCCTCCTCCCGCCGTGTAGGTCGGCGCAAAGCACCTAGCTCCAGACTTGGGCTCAGGCGAAACTCGGGCGTCGCACGTAGAGCCGTACCAGAGGGGAAGCCGCCGAAGGGTTGAGAACTCCAACGCTGACTAGCAAGTCGCGCTTTGGTACCTGTTTAGCCACCCAGCGTTCCATGAAAGGAGCCCGACATTGCGTCTTTGCTGTCCAGCGCGGCGAGAGGCTGTGCCACATGCCGAGTTGTTAGGCTGTGCCTCGAACTGTCTTTCCGCGACTGCGTCGCTTCTTTCCGGCTTCGCTGTGCTAGAGCTCCCAGTCGGCAGACAAGTGTCATGTCGTTCTTTCTGATATAGGAAAAATTGTGTGAGTGTGCTGTAAACATCAGCGCCGTCCTTTATGGGTTCTGTGTTCTGTTATTGTGCTTGCCATTCAGAATCGAGCCGAAGTCGGTTTTAACCCATTAGTGAGTGCCAAAGCGGTAATCGCCCGCAAAGCGCAGAGCACGCTCGCGCAGCATTCAATTGAAAAATAGTAGTGGTAGTAATAGTAAGTAGTAAGTAAGTAGTAAGTAGTACGTAGTAGTGGTTAGTACTAGTAGTAGTAGTAGTAGTAGTAGTAGTAGTAGCAGTAGGAGTAGTAGTAGTAGTAGTAGTAGTAGTAGTGGTCGTAGTCGTAGTCGTAGTCGTAGTCGTAGTAGTAGTCGTAGTCGTAGTAGTAGTAGTAGTAGTAGTAGTAGTAGTAGTAGTAGTAGTAGTAGTAGTAGTAGTAGTAGTACGGTCGGCACTTGTGGTTTGCCTGTGCCGAATGTCTATACAGGGTGCCTGTGACCACAATCCCTCGTCCCTGCCAGCATTTCCGGTGATCAAAGCCACATTCTACAGCAGGAAGTTCTCGACGCGAAGTGCTTGAGTTAAGGCGCAGGGCCTGTAGGGGTTGCGAATTTGCCAACCTCAAAGCCGCAAATCGGAAGTCACAACCCTGCACCGACGTTAAGACTCCCTGTTTTGCATACTCAGCCGCTTCCTGCCAGAGCCACAAGCACCTGTCGACTGCATAAGCATCTCGTGGGTTGATAATCACCCGTCCGGTCTCCAATGCCAGCCTGTAACTCTTGTGTGCCGCCAAGAGCCGGTTGAAACTGGGATCTCTGTGCAAGAAAGCTGCGGAAAGGGCGTTGACAGGTCGCAGACGATCAGAGCCGGAGCCGCCACCAGCTGTCTGCTGCCGCCTCATGGTTTTCTTCAAGCAGCCCAAGAGACTCTCTGCACAGTTGTCTCCGCAAACGTGTAGGCTGGTTTAATTAAGGCTCAAGGCTTCTGGGGTTTTGGTTTAGGGATTAACTGCCGCCCAGTGGCCTGCTGGCACATCCCACTCGCCGTCCTCGAGCACGGCCATGCTTTTCCCACGTCCAGCTGGGACTCCACGTCCCCATTGACGAACGTCCGACAGCCTCGTGGTCTGGACGTGCTCCATGTGTTCAAGACAACCAACTTTTGCTCGACCAGCAGCAAAGTCAGGATCAGATGCCCGATGTGTTTTAAGGATCCCTCTGCCGACATGACCAGAAACGGGTTTGCAAACAGAGTTAAAATCCCCTCCAATGACAAACAAGTTTCTAAAAGGCAACCCTTGACAAAGGCACCCTAGTTGCGACCAGAAGTGGGGCCGGAGTTTCGTGATCTTATCCCGGTCCTGGTCCTGCCACACATGCTGGTAGCATCCAATGACGTCCAGAGTGACTTGCGGGCCAGTAAATCTGACATGCAGCAGCCTCCCTGGTTTCCATGTGCACTGGCTGATGTTGTCCTCATGAAACCGACTCCTCCGTAGAAGAATTGCAACGCCCGAAAAGCGGGCTTTAGGATCAGCAGTCGCAATGACCGTCCAGTTCCGGAGATACCATTGCGTGTCCTCCCGTCCGAATCCCCAGTGAGTCTCCTGCAGGAGCACTACATCCGCCGTGCAGCGTTCGTCCAACCAGAGTTTCAGAGTGTCGTACACTTCAGACGTTATTCCCCCACGTTGTAGGAGAAGATCTGTAATCGAGGCCGTGTCGCTACTCGCGGTGGAGCCTGGACCACCGGTTGCGTACTGTCACGCACCGTTCCAGTGACTGAGACGCCCAGCGAACTCGCGCTGTGCCATCGCCCGCGGTACCACGTACCACCTTGTTGTTGAGCTCTCTGTCGAGCTCTTCGAAACGCTCGCTTGCGACTGTTGCTCCAGATAGCCTCGGAAGAGGGTCCCTGTCCAGCCTTTTTCACATCTATAGATGTTTTCGGAGCAGCTGTGGAACTGCTGCCAACCCTCGGGTTAACCAGTGCAGGCCCGATCGCCGTTGAAGTATGCTGTAGCACTGGCCAGGGGAATTGGGACCCCTGCGGCTGATGATAATAATCCGAGCTCATCAAAGAAAAGTGCAGGTAGAGACAAATGCAGATTGCAACGCACACAGCCATGCACCCCGGAGTGAAAAAGGGCCCTACCTCCAGCTCGATTGCAGCCGAAACCCTTGGTGGTAGTAGTAGTAGTAGTAGTAGTAGTACTTTTTGTCACCCACCTGGCACACCTGTAGTAGTAGTAGTAGTAGTAGTAGTAGTAGTAGTAGTAGTAGTAGTAGTAGTAGTAATAGTAGTAGTAGTAGTAGTAGTAGTAGTAGCAGTAGTAGTAGTAGTAGTAGCAGTAGCAGTAGCAGTAGCAGTAGTAGTAGTAGTAGTAGTAGTAGTAGTAGTAGGAGTACGAAATAGTTGTGGTAGTGGTGGTGGTGGCGGCAGTGCTACTTCGTCGTGGTAGTGGTGGTGGCGGTGGTGGTGGTAGTGGTAGTTGCAGTCGTCGTAGTGATACCAGTGGCGGTAGCGGTAGTAGTGGTGCTGGTAGTAGTAGCAATAGCAGTAGCAGTAGTTGTGGTTGTGATGGTTGTTGTTGTTGGTGGTGCTGTTGTCGTCGCGGCTGTTCTGGCTGTTGCGGGGGTAGTGGTAGCATTAGTAGCAGAAGCAGCAGCGGCAGTACTAGTCGTCATTGTTGCTGTGATGCTGGTGGCAGTATCGAACGTCGTCGTTGCCGTAGTCCTAGTAGTAGTAGGTGCTGTAAGCCCCTCGTTTGGTTCCCAGCAAGCTCTTGCATGCTCGGACACTGTCTCATCAATTGACGCTTCGCGCCTTGGATGTTTTCCGTGTGGGATCGTCCGTCCTCGCACCGTGCCGCTTGGATACAGGACTGACTCTGCTGCAGCGCACGCTCACGATTTTGACAAGGGCAGCTTCAGAGTGAAGGATGCATTGCAGCACATGCAAGCCAAGATGACTCTACAGTAGCTGAGGATATCCGAGGATGAATGGTTTATCCGTCGAGCTCCTGTCATAACTCTCCGGAACTTCAACCTCGTCAGTTGCCGGAAAATGTCGTCATGAGCTGCTGTGGGCTACATCAGCAAGGCATTGCATGCTCACATCTTTGCAGTGCTCGAAAGGCAGCCGAGGACCGGACGCATTTCATCACCACCTCTTGCGACTGCCGGTTTGACTTCATCGTTAAAGACACCACCCCGAGCAACCGCACGAATGGATCTCCAGCACGCTTCTCAATTTATGGGCGAGCCGCATCAGTACCTTTCCACGTGGCCAGGTACAGTGTGCTCTTGAGCGTTCGGCTGAGCCTCAGATTGGCGATCGAATGAGGTCTCCTTAGAGAGTTTGGAAGTGTCTCTGCAGGTCTCTGCCGGGAAGCTCCTTTCGCATTTCCAGCTCGTCTCGACGAAGCTTCCACCGAGAGTCTGCTGCCCGCCCAAGCAGCCTGCCGTAGAAGTACGGGCGAAGCGGGGCAGTACTGGTGAGATTGACGGTGAGGAAGTCCCAACTGGAAGTGTGAAAGTAGTGCCTGCCAATTTGTCACAAGGCCCATTTCCCCTCTGGACCCGGCCTGTTTCTGCGACCCAGCGTGGAGCGGGATGTGTCCTAAATCTCAAGATGCATGTGCTGAATTTCTGGCCGGAGCATACAGTATCTGTGACACTCAAAGCAGCGGCGATTCCAGATCGTGCTGGGCCTCTTGAGATTCAAGAGCAGCGGCAGAGTCGGCTGTGGACAGTGACTCCTTCCAGCTCAGATTCAGACATAGAAAGCAGTAGCGAAAGCTGCACAGGTGTCTTGACACATTCTGGTTTCTGGTCGAAGCTGCCATGTGATTGAAGTGCAGGACAGTCGCCGCAAGCCTTGCTCTTCGCATCCCTTCGCACTGTTGTGCTGCGAGGTCCTTCGTGTGCACCGGTATGTCGACGACTTCGACCTCCTTGCATATTGTGCAATTTTTTTGCATACATCTTCATGGGGCCATGCATGCGGCACGGGCCCTGTTGGTCACACGTCTTCAATGCTCCCTAGTCTGTCTGTCCCACCTTGGTCTCGCTCATCTCGCTGACACGAGACTGTTGGATGCAGAGGTTTTCCTGGCAAAGATGTGAAGCGCTGGTACTGACACATGGGTATTGCTCCAACCTATCGAGACTCTGTTGGGACCCTGCTGTGTGGATGATGATGGCCCCTATCCGGTGACATCTCGACAGCACGAGATGTGGCTGACAAAACTAAAAGTTCATACCCAGTGGTAGTGCAGAAAAAGAACTCACACGCTGTGCCACCACCTCGTCGCTGAGGACAGGCAATGCATTGACGGAGATCTGGCTGCTGTGACGGGAAGGTATCTCCTGGCAAGCTTCTGGTCGTCATTCGTTTCAATGTTTGCGTGGACCGCTATCCCTTCATGCGAAATTGCCATCTTTTCGAGAGTCTTTGACTTTGTCGTTTGTGCGACATGTTTGTAGTAGTCGCAGTCGTCGTCGTAGGAATCGCGGCAGCAGTCGTCGTCATCGTCGGCGTGGTCGTGTCGTTGTCGTAGCAGCAACAGTGGCCGTAGCTGTAGCAGCAACAGTACTATAGTGATTGTAGTTATTGTGGCAGTAGCAGTAGCATGAGTAGTAGTAGGTAGTGGTACTGGTAGTTGAGGATGCTCCTACCCTGATGGTATGTGTCACACAGCAGCCCGTTAAGTAAACGCATCAGTTGCTGCTTCTTTGAAAGCAATGCCAGCTAAGCTCTCGTCGTAGTAACGCTCAGGGCACTGTGAACCAGTAGGCTCACCTGACAAACTCAACACCACTTGTTCAGATCTTTTTCCGTCTCGCATGGCCAGGATTAGCATCCAGCATCTGGAGTGAACGCATCAAACAGCAGAAATTTCAGGACCGTTTTGATGAGCGTCTAGTCCAGCTCCACCAGTAGTGCCCTAAGCCCCACGCTAAGTAAACATTGCCAAAGTAAATGAGAAGTTTTTCACATATGGTCAGTTCCAGTGAAGCTCAGGCTCACAAATTCCAAGAGAACCTCTGATCCCGCCTCTTTGAAAAACGACCGTTCCCGACTGGCGTCACCGGCGGCTGTCACCAACATCCAGCAATGACGAAGTCAAGATGGCCACCGAAAAGCAACCTCCATGCTTCGTGGAAGAATCACCCATAGCTGGACATAGGTTTTGTGATTTTCGTCGCATGAAAAATGGCAGCTCGCATAACATGACGACCTCCGGATCCACAGTCACGCTCCTTCTGAGCAGCTTCGTACCTCCTTTGCATCGTGTCTCCCCATGAATTTCTGACGTAAGAATAAGCTCCTGCCAAACGCACCGCCATCTTGTAAAACAGCAAACCTTATTCAGCGTGGCCAGATTGCCCTCCGTGATATGGCCCTTTGGAACCCCGCATCTGCACGAGAAGGAGCATCAGAAGGGAAAGGATGTGCACGAGAAGCAAGTCGGTGCAGAAGGCAAGATCCCTAAGGGAGCGCGACAGCTCCAAACAAGGAAAGCCAACAGCCGGCAAGCAAGAGCAGTGGAAGAGCCGATCTCGAGTCTGCTATCGTCTGCTACTGCCGTCTCCAATGTAGCGGCTTTATTACATATGCCACACTCCTGACACGGAGCTGCATCCCCCGTGGGGTCGGTCTTCTGCATGCCTTGATCCGTCCTCAACCAGACACAGCCAGACAATGCTGTATTCACCGCATAGTGGAACAAGTTCTCATGTCCCACCTACTTGTTCTCGTTCAATGCAGCACAAGAGGGGGTGATGTTGTGATGTTGGCACGGTGGAGTCGGCGGGTGTCGGAGGTATGGACCAGTAGCAGCAGGGCAGCACACGACCGACTGGCGAAAGATAGCGTAGCGGGGCGACGAGGAGCAAGGCGGGTTAAGGGTTAATACTAATATACTCTTTACGATGGTGATGATAACGGTGGTGCTGGTGCTGATGACGACGGTGCAGTCTTGTTGAACGCAACTGGCAACTGCGTCTGTGCTTTGTTTGCAATCCGGTCAAGCCTCAATTTCTGCCGGTGGGTGAACCGCGGCATTACACAATCACAGGCTTGGGACTACACACTTTCAGAATGATACGAGTAGCATGTTCTTGACAGGTTTGTTGTGCCGAATTTGCTAGGCAAAGCCTTTTTGCGGACACGTTGCCTCACACGTTTGAACCGCTTTATATTTATATCATCTAAAGCTCTAAAGGCACGCACCGTTAGATAAACGCTCGTGTCCCCAAACTCCTACGTTTGTCAGTAGTTGCCAACTACAAGTTATATACATCATCTTTGTGCCGAAGTGCGTATCGGTTCTTCGCTCAGAATTCCCGGCACGCGCCTACTAGCTGACAATTTGAAGCCAATGTCTTTTTCAAAAGCGAAATACTCACTGCACACCACATGACAGCATCGGATCGGCTCTCCTCTGCTCCAACCACATGGGTCTGCTCCTGCCAACGTATCCGATGTCTCTGCGCTTTTTTTGTGGAGGCTGTGGTGACTTGAAGCTCCTCCGTGACTCCTGGATCTTCAAAATGGACAGCCTGGAGACTTCAGACAAAGGTGAAGTGGGTCTGGTTCTGCGTCAGTGCAGGTGTCAACATCTCGGCCTTCGGGCTTGAGCTTTCGACACAGCACCAGAACATGGGTCTGAATATTTACAGTATTGGAGTCCTGAATACTCTAGACTCTAGGCTGTTCCTGTGGACTTCTACTGCTTCTACTGTGCTGGGGCACATGCATGGCAATGCCCACTTGATGGGCGGAGACAACGCCCAAAAGTATGTCCAATGTTCGCTTGTTCCGTCTCATGGATACACTGGATGCTGCTTGTCAAAAAAGAAGCACTGCGGCCGGTGGAGCAGGAGTTCAGTCCTTCGCATGCAGTTCGACGCAGAGGCTTGAGCTCTTGAGGCTGACATGTAATGCAAGAGTGAAGCCCGAAAAGCAGCGAACGAGCTCTCGAAGATTTTGTTCTGGTAAACTCTTTCGCCTTCAAATTTTCCGATCCCTGGACCCCCACAGCGCTTTCACTGTGAAATGAAACACTCTCACATGGTCTTACCAATACTCCAAGGGCAAACGCAGAAGCTAGCCACAGCTCCAGGCTGACTCAATCCTAAAATAACTCTTGCCAATCGCTTTGCTTGGCTGTATTTTTTCTATGTACATCCGCGAAGTCAGAGGTGCTGCAGCCAAGTGCTTGGCGTGCACATGCCACTTCCCGTAGGCGATGGTGCGGATCACAGTCTCTTTACACATGGAGCAGAGTTTCAATTCATGTTCCCGAGAGTATTAAAGCATCTGTTGTGTAAGCCTTCTGCCGTGGCTAGCTGTAACAAGACGGATCATCAAGTCCACAAGTCAAGGTTCCATCGTGGCATGTGTCCAGTGATATTCTGTGCTCGGCTTTCTTGGTTTCTTGCTGCCTAAGCAAGATCTGAAGCTATCTGCAAGAATCTTCGTCATTCTCTGCAGCCTCAGCATCTCTGACCAGATCGATTCCGGGCGGCTTCGCCCTTTTGGCAAAGCTTCGCCTGAAAGGCGTCACTCAAGAGCTCCCGAAGCCTCAAGAGGGCTTTGCGGCCCAAACTCTGAATGCCCTTGCATTTACTCACGCAGTCGCTCACCGTTCGCTTTGTCTGACAATGACAATAATGTTTGGCTTCTGCCAGCAGGCAAAGACCCGCTCCTCGCGGCAGTCAGTGCGGTCCTCACAACAGTTGAACTACCCAAGTCCGTGAGGCTTCAGAGAACAGTTCGTCGCGCCTCAATGCAGCCACAGCTTGGGCTATATGCAGCTGCCTCATTTGTGTTCTGTGGGAGTGTGCCCATGATGTACTGGCCCCATGCCCAACATGAACGGTTCTCAAAGGACCGGGGCCGCAGCAAGATCTGCATCTTTGCAGGCCGTGAATGCGCACCTAGGCAAAGCGTCAAGTGGGAGTAGGTGACAGCTTGCCCTGGAATCACATGGCTTGTTGGCATGGCCTTGCGGCACTGCTTATGCAGCTTGAGCAGGCTTCCTGCCGTTGTGCCCTTGGGCTGTTTTATGGACCTTTCCGGGTATGTGCTGGTCAACTTCCGAGTGCTTCTATTGACGCAAACACCAACATATCTAAGCAACAAGGCATCCATAGCCATCCGCCCTTTGACTCAGGCAAGCACATGATCTGCCGCTGGCAGAAAATCAGTCGATGGTTGCCGTAGTCCACGCGGTAGAAATTGCCAAAGCTGTCCTGTCTTCCGGCATTCTGGCATAGTACCCGGCTGACGTGTCAGGGGTCACGTAGAGTAGCATGCTGCATGGTTGCATTTGCTGACCCAAGCTCTGGAACTGAAGATTTTCTGAGTTTCAGGGCGAAGAAACTGTCGGCTGCTGTTGTTGGCAGGATCGGCAACTGAAGCACCTGAGCAGCGGCTACAGTGGGCATCAGTCACCAGAGACCTGCACTGCGAAACGCAGCAACTGCCTCGTCCTCTGGGACTCGCTGTCCCGTCGAGGCGCCGCTGGTAACCTTCTCACTGCAGCAGGCAAGGCAAGTCTTGAAGCTTGCCTGCTTGTCGGCCAAAGTCATGCAGTGACCAGATGCCGCTGGTGCCGTGGCAATCGCCTACGAATGTCGGGAACCTGTAAGACGCGGCTGTTTCCGTAGTCCACCACCTCGTGCCGCGGTGCAACGCAAGCAACAGTTCAATATCCCTCAGACTAATGCAATGGCAAAGACATATGTACTGATGCTTCACTTCAGAAAGCCTGAGCGCGTTCCTTCCCAGCACTGCTGACTGACTGCTACACCATGAGCCGCCGGCGTAAAGAAAGCTGTTGTTGAGGTAGATGCCCGCCTAAGCACTTCAGGTTGGTTCATTTTGCTCAAGATGAAGTCTTCGGCTCTAGAGACCCACGGCGACGCACCGGATGTGACTTGGTGATGCATTGCATGTTCTCTGCGTCGCACCGGATACCGAAGCTCCGAGAGGCTGTCTCCAGGCCTTACCAAGGCATTGAACGAAACTCCCGCTCTCTGGAAGCGGCATATGCGGCATCCGGACTCGGAACACCCAGCTAAGCCAAGAAACAGAAACGCTCTGACTCAGACTCCTTTTTCCACAGCACGCTCCGTGTGTAAGTCTGTGCTCGAGGCGGAGCCACGCACGCACATCCAGTGTTGCCAGTATATGCCTCTCGTCCTTGCGGTCGTCTCTCCCTCAATGCTGGCCATCGAACGTCTGCGAACACTCCGGGTGGCGCCGCACCGCGTGAAGCCGTGAGCAGTGTGAAGGTGGCATCGGTCCTTCAAGTCTGGATCCTGTTGGCGATGGCTGCCGCCATTTGCTGAGTTCCCACGGCCCCGCCCAGGTCGGGTGTCGTATGCTTGCCTTCCTTGATAACAGCCGCCAGCGCTGCTTCGAGTGATCGGCTGGCGGCATGCTCACCAAGGTGCTGGAGCATTCGTGAAGCTGAAAGCAACATGGACGTGGGATTGGCGCGGTCTTGACCAGCAATGTCCGGAGCGCTACCATGGGCAGGTTCAAAAATCGACACGCCTGAATCTCCATAAAGGGCCGAAGGCGCGAGGCCCAAGCCTCCGACAAGGCCAGCGGCCAAGTCAGATACAAGATCACCAAAGAGGTTCTCACAAAGGATGATATCCCAGTGCTGTGGGTGCAATACCATACCCGTAAGCAATGAGTCACAAAGCTGCTCGGTGTACTCAATCTCTGGAAATTCGGAGGCTATCTGGCGGCAGCATTCTAGAAAGAGGGTATCCGACTGCCGAAGGACGTTGGCTTTGTGCGCTGCAGTGACCTTCTTCCGGCCATTAGCACGTGCGAACTCGAATGCGAAGGTTGCAACTCGAGTGGCGCCCTGGCATCAGCAAGACATCTGTCAAATGCGACAAAACTTACTGCAGTCTCGCCAGGGTCTCGACTAGACGATATGTCCTCTCTGGCAGTCTCACGCACCCCTCAGAAGCGGCATCAGAGCCTAGAGCATCGTGCAGCTTGTAGCCCCTAAAACAACGGAGCGAAGGCCCTGTCCATCTCATGCTGTATCAACACTTCGGAATAAACTCTGTAAAACACAACCCCTGCAAGATATCATTTACGAAGTCCAAAGTATGCACATGCTCGTGAGACAGGCGATAAGACCATCGCCTGGGCTTGTATGGCCACTAGCCTCTAGGCCTAGAGCCCAGTGGTTCTCAGCCCAGCATCCCCCGGGTTAGCAACACGCCTGCCGCGTGATCCGCCTCGTTGCCACCACGCTGTCTGGGCTTTCCCACACCTGCTGACTGCGGTAGGGGCGCTCCGGGAAGGCTTCTGCTGAGTGCCATCCCATGCAATCCCTGGCCCCTGCCTCCTCCCCAGTGTACATTCCCTCCGTGTTCTCACCTCGATTGCGCAGTCGCATGTGTTTCAGTACGCATGGCCTTCACCTTCACCTCAGGTTACAGTAGACTACGTGCTGTTCCTCGCGAAAGGGGATTGAAAGACATGCACTTGCGAAGCTTGCCGGATGCGTTCCGAGTCACGCACAACCACGACATCAGTTCCCGGGAACTTGGAGCAAGTTCCTGCCAGAGCTACTTTCTTACTGCACTTGCCCGACGATCTGCTTGGAGCTTGATTGAGCACAACATTCCGGATCATGCGCTTCTGGGAGCTGGATAGGAAGAATCGGGTCAGCCCCCTACTTTGATTTGGGTCGGAGTCCCCGATTCAGAGCACGCACGCGCCGGACAAATGGGAACCGTTCAGATCAATGCCTCGGCCATGGGCTGACAAGCTCGACACCCCGAAACCCAGAAGGTCCAAAAGGAGTGTGTCAGGCGAAAACCCAAACCCCAAAAGGAGTAGCTAGTGCGAAATCCAAGCAGCAAAAAAAGGGGGTAAGTACGAAACTTCAAGACGACACGGAATTAGAGTAGCTGCTTGCGGCGGACATCCAAAACACTATCAGGAGTACCTTGTTCCGTAAACTCAAAATCCTTAGAAACGGGTACGAAAACACAGAAGAAAAAGGGGTGCGTGCGGAAGGCCAAAACGCTGAAAAGAGTGAGGGGCGCTCGAGCCCCAAACCGTAAAAAGGAGTATGTTCTACAAAGCTCGAAGCCGCAAATAGACCTAGCAAATTCTGTGCTGCGGCATGTAAGAGCCGCCACGCAACGGGGGAGTACCGCTTTTGGCACTTCCAGTCCCCAATGCGGAAACCCCAAAATCTAAACATGAGCATACAATGCGGGTGCTGAAACCCCAGACCCTGAAAAAAGTATGTTCTGCAAAAGCCCAACACCCAAGGAGGAGCAGCTGGTGCAAAACGCAAACCCATAAGAGGAGCTAAAGGGCGCGGAAACCCAAAACCCTGAAGTAGTAGCGGGTTCCAGAAACCAAACCCCCTGAACAGAGCACACGAAATCCCAAAAGAGTTATTGAGTGCGAAGCCTAAACCTCTAAGTGGTGGCTGGTGCGAAAACTCAAAATCTCAAAAGGAGTGGGTGGATGCGGAAACCCAAAATCCTACAAGGAGTGGATGGGTGCGAAACTCCAACCCTGAAAGGAGTGCGTCATGCCAACGGCCAAACCCCTTACCGGAGAACCCGAAAACCTTTATGCGTCCGGGCTTGGGAAGTAGGCCGGGGAAACCAGAACCCTAAACGAACTGGGTAAGTGCGAAAACGCAGGACCCCAAGAGATTAAGAGGAGTAGGTTGTTTGTGCGGAGACCCTAAACCCTAACATGAGTACGTGGATGCGTAGAACCAAAATTTTGGAAGTAGGTGCCGAAACCCAAAACCTTAACCGGAGTACTTGGCTCAGCAAACTTCAAACTTATTTTGGAGGCCCCTCTGGACCCCTGCGCGATAAACCAAAACCAACCTCAAGCCTCTGAACCTCAAACTAAGGTACGCGTGCACGGGATCTGGATGGATCTGGGTCAGTGATCCTGCTTGAATCGCACCTAGGTAGTGCACTCCAGCAAGCGTTTCGAGGGAGAAACCCATATCCGCCGTATGCCCTCGGCGGCCTTGACCCTGTTTGCGATTTTTTGGTTCATGTTTGAGGATGATTGAGGGGTCCGGTCGGGGGTCCTTTCATTTCCTCGGCTGAGTGGCGGGTTGCCCAGGAGCGTGTGCACAGTTTGTGTTCCCTTCCCCCGTCCCTCCTCCTTGTTTGTTGCCTTATAAACTTATAGATGCATTCGCTTCAGGTTCAGGAGGGTTTACTTAGCTTACTTACGTAGGTGTAAGCCTCAAGCTCTGACAACTCGGACGGGCCAGTCGAGGTCTCTTGGTGTGCGGGTCGAAGTGAGACAACTATACCTGGATGGCTGCAGCCATTCAATCAATTCAAAGGATATTGAAAACTGCTACTGAAACGGTCCGAAGCTGAGTATAAAATGGAAGCAGACCAACAGCAAAGCACCAGCATGCCCAATTATGGAATGCTTGCGCTGCATGCGGCTCCTTCGAGATACTTGGCCGGTCGAACATTGGCATAGAGCTGAAAGAGCTTGCGGAGAGCCTGATTGGCCTGGAGTACAAAGGTGTCTCTGGTTCCATAATTTCTTGAACTGAACAACTTGCGACCTACGAAACAGCAGCGCCAAACAATCTAGATTTGCAAAGTGTGCTTCCTGACCGTTTGCATGCGGCTGCGGCGTTGGATGGCGTGCGGTCTTAATGGCAAAAACTGACTTGGGAAGCCAGGACTCCGAGGAGAAGCGCCGGCCTGACCAAGCTAATCTTTCCGAAGTGAAACCATGCAACGACAACAACCACAATGAATCTCATCCGACTTTTTCTCCAAATCTCTTACGTTCCGAAAAGCAAAGCGATTGCCTGTTTCGATTGTTTGGGCCACCCTTCGACCCTCGAACGAATCATGGTCTCTCAGTTCAGGTCGGACGCGAGCACTGGGTGCATGCCAGCGTCAATCAACCTATTGGTACCATTAGTCTACAAGTTGCAAGCCAGTCTCCAACCACAAGAGGCTCACACTGTTTTAGCACGAGGCTGCTGCCCAGTAAACATGTCAACATCTGTAGCAGAAGAGGCTGCCGGAAAGTGCACGCAGTGGGCTTGGAGGCAGTGTCGTTGTCTAACAGGACAATCCAAGCGAGGTATGCAGCATGGTTCGGGACCCTCTGCCGGAAGGAATCTGCTTGGCGGTTTCCGGCTGACACTTCGACTTTCGCGGCCTGTTTGGCTGGCGGATTTGTCTCCCGCAGCAACATGACATGGCTTAGACGTCTCTAGCTCACCCATGAACAACCTCTCCGTTTTCAATTCTCTGTGATCCGTCATGCTAGAAGCGATTGCAGGCCAACTTCTCAACTCCAATGCCTGTGTGACATGTTTGCGAGTTTCTTGGCTCTTAGCGTGTTCTGGTTGGTAAAATTCAAGCCACTACATTTACGGTATTTGTTGTGTGAGTGCTAGTTGCAGCTTCAAGACATCCGTCAGTGCCTCGGAGCTCAACATGTGTCGATGCACTGCCAGCAGGGATGTCGATCGGCCCCTTGAGAACGCACCCAATCCTTGGTCGCTGCAAGCTGTGGACGTTGAACAGTTGACGAGGGAGCAGTGACATTCTACCTGTGGTTCGATGGTTTCGAAGCACATGTCTTGCCGGCAGATCCACGTTAAGAAAGCACAACTACCCCCACCGCGACATTCCCGATCCCACACAACGTACTTCAAGGATCTTCAAGGAACCTTTGGAACACAACAGTGCCCTCCGATTGGCACTCACGTCACTCTTGCAGGTTGATCGGAAAGGCTTGCCGGTCCTAGAGCCCTAGGGGCCACCGTAGATTGGCTGTGGCAGTTGCCAGCTGGGACATGTTATCACTGGCTTAAGAAACCGAAGTGGGTGCACTGTATCTCGCAGGAATGTGGCAAGCCGAGGTGGCCGGTCGCCGGATCGAGCGAGAAACATCCCGCCGCATGGGCTACTGCCCATCTGTTGTGCCGAAGCAGTGCTTTTTGGGGCCACGGTCTTAGAGGTACAGACGCGCACACGTTCTCGTAGAAATGTTGCTAAAGGTGTCCTACGGGCCATTCTCGGCGTCAACTTTAGCGCCAATGGCATATGTTTGCAGTTGGACCTTTCCTGCATCTAACATCGGATCCCCATACCTGAAACGGGAAAGTTAAGGAAGGCTCAACTTGTAACTTGCGGGCTATTCAAGGCTAAACTCAAATCCCAAGCCCTGGAGCTGAAAACATCAAACCCGGAAGAAGTCTCCAAAGCTTTAAAACCGAACGCTTGAAAACCAAACCCCAGTCCCACACACTGAAGACCTGACAGTGGTGTCTATAAATGCTGGACATCGCTGGACGGTATCTGGCTGAAACATCTCTGCACGGGGGCGAGTATCTCTTCCACAGCTTGTAAATGGTCCTCGTTGACTGGGAAGCCAGTCCGACGAGCACAAGCATTCCCAAAGTCCATGTCTTCGAAGCTGAAGCTTACGCCTGCAGCGAGACGTGAAGTGGCAAGTGCGCAGCTTGCTGTCTGCTCCTTAGGGCCGTGTACGAGTACCGGCCTGTGGCTTGCAAGGCCAGCTTGGTCGCCGCGAGGAGCTCTCCACCCACACCTCGCGAAGATTCGGGCTGAGGAGCTCAAGACTTTAGGCCTTGAAGAAGCCTCAGACTTTGATTACAAAGCCTAGCGGCCTAGCCCGATTGCAAGCGTGAAACTGCTCCAACCCACCCAGCCCCACCTATAGAAGGACCTAGCCTGAAGAGACAACCGTGCACTCGCTGCTTTCTTTCATTGGATCGACACAGCCCTCTGGAGTGCCGCTCTGTCTTTCGCCGAACCTGATGTCGAGCTCCCCGCTCTGTCTTTCCACAGGGCTAAAACTCCTGCAACAGCCGAACACTGCTGTCGGTCCCGGCCGTAGCTTCAAGACGTTCCAGGGCATGCTCTCTTTCTTTCTTTCCCCGGCTGGGGTGCGGGTGAGGTGCCAAGACGTTGCTAGCATGGAGCGTCTGAAGGCCCCCGAGCCGAAGGGTCACAGTTCTTTGCGGGATGCGTGAAACGGAAGGACAGTATGGTAGGGAATCTCACGCTAGAGTTTGACAGGCTCTCTCTCCCTCTCTCGCTGTCACTCGTCTTTGCTTCCAGAACGACAGCCGCAGGTGCCGTCGCCCGCGAGGCAGAGCACCCGGTGTGCATGGAAGCGGCGAACACTGCGGCGCATGGCACAAGTGTCAGAGATTCACATCGGCAGATTTCTTCTGCTTAGTTAGGTACAACGAAGCACGGCCTTTTTTTGAGCAGGGGCACTAAGTCCGACCCAAACCGGGTGACCAAGCTACACTTAGATGGGACAACTTGTGGGATCCCGGCTCGCAGCTGGCATCGCTGAGTTTTGAATCATACAGTGCAGCAGCAGAAAGGCAACAAACAACCAAAAGACGAGGTCCGCACGTGCCTGTCCCGAAAACCACATTTCCTGTCACCTTAGCATGTCACGCATGATCAGCATGAGGGTGCCTATCCTGCAACTTGATTTATGTGGCCAGTCCCAGACTCACGCAAGAGTCACGAATTGTCCCGGTGAGGTGGGCTGTCACAGACCCAGTGCTGTTCCGGTCGACAACGTCACGGTGCACCGACCTACCCGGTAGTAGAAAACGTCTTCCGCCCCTCGTTTAGGCGGGCCGCCGAGCCGGAAGGACGGGAACCTACGCAATGTGAACACATGCGGACTTCCGCGAGGAAGAAACGGCGGCCTCTTAATCTGTGAAGCCACGACTCGAATGCTTCCCCGTTAGGCTTTCGGGTTTAAGGCTCGTGTGTCTCCCGCCTAGGTTTTCGGCTCACACTCGGACAGACCAGGCGAGGCCTTTGGCTCGAGGTCTTCTGAAAGATGTGACAGATGCCAGTCGGAGCCACACGATCTACAACACCTCCAGGTTTTAGGGTTTAGGGCTTAGTGGCGGCTCGCCAAGAATCACCAGCTGGGTTTGGCATGATTGATGCTGGGGCTAAGGGGGATATCTCCATCCGCGGCCGCATGCATGCCCTCCGCATAGATCTCTCGTTGGAAAGGTGGCTTCTGGCCCCAACCCTTGACCTTATCTTTCTGGGAGTAGGCTCAGTGTGGATTTTCCGTGGGATTCTCTCTTCACAGCGGGCCTCTTTCAAACGGTGCGTGGATGTTCGCTGGATTCTGGATGGCAGGGGATGATACTTCTGCGAGATACTGGTCTGCTGCTGCCTGTGTTGCAGTCGCAGAAGGAGCAGGCGGTCCTACCGTAGCACACACTGCCAACCCGACTTTAGCCCGGGCCGGATGGGATGCCAAGGTATGGACGAGCCCTGGGGTCAAATACAGCAAATCCCCATGATGACCCGCTTATGTGATATTGCTGTACTTTTCGGGCCGGCAGCTAGTGTGACACTTACGAGATGTCAAGAATCACACCAGATCACGGAACAACACATAGCATTGCCGCACGAACGGGTCGCCATCCGTCATCATCCGCATCTGCTGAGTTCGACTCCCGGGCGTAAGGTTCGAGATGCAATTTGGCGCATGGGCCCTTTGAAGCTTCTTGGAGGGCCTTTGGAGTCCGGATCACTTTCATGTTCTCGCAAATTTGCGGGAAAGTGAAACGTGTGACGCACTGATGTGGTGATGCTCTGCTAGTTCGGAAACCTCTCCAAAACCAACCACTGCCCGGGGCTTCGCTCGTTTGCGTGAAAGTGAAACGAGTGAAGCACTGATGTGGTGACTGCCGGGGGCTTCGCACTGCCCCGAGGCCATGCGACGATCCGGTGATTGGCCTTAGACTCTAACAGAGGCAGCAAACAAGTCAAAGCTCCAGTCTGCTGGCATGCTGTCCATTGGCATTTGGAACTCGCTTCATGCTTAGCTCAGAACAGTATCAGCAACGTACAGCATGTCAGGGCTTCCCGACCTGAGCCGGTACATTCCTGCAAACTGTGATCGAGAGCCTAGTGGCCTAGTCCACCTTCCAAACGCCGCCAGAGAAGGATCAAGACGAACCACGTTTAGTGTCACGTGGCAGAAGTCTACCTCCAAAGTGCGAATGGGGGATCAACTGAGGCAAGCGCAGGAAGAAAGCACCCAGCGGGCTGCTCAACTGCAAAGATTTGTGTGATAAAAACATGCAAAATTCGCAGGGCCGAAAGCGGTCAGAGGTTCTTATACGGATTCAAGCTCTTCCCCACTTCTTACCCCGCCCCAGTGACCCCCCACCCCGAAAACTGTGCCGCTGACCCCTCGGCCCCCCGCCCCTCTCTGTGAATCCATGAATTTGCCCCCAGGTCCCTCCCTTTCCCCCAGTCGCGATTGGTTTTGGTCTGCTCCAGGTTCTAGGGTTAGGGGTGCTGGATTTCGGGGCCTGCAAGATCTCGGCTGAGGAATTCTCTTCAGCAAGGCAACTTTTCACGGGGTAGCGATGCAGGCTCCGAATGCTTACCTTGGAGAAGCACCTCCAGGCACATACGTTTGCAGCCGGGCCGAGGCGGGCGACACGAAGCGTTTAAATTACACACGAATCAGGTGAATGAACACCTCGCAGCCATCCCAGCAACCAGACACGGTTCAAAGCCTGGTTTGCCGAAGAACCCACCTGGGCTCATGTTTGAGCGATCGGACATGACTCTATGCAATACATTCAGGTTGTGAGTCTCAAGCCTGAGCCTCCGGCACCATTCCCTCCTGCAATTACTTCATACCTGCTTGACAAACAGAACAGAACCCTGCTGTCCCTCTGCATGGTGCTATGCAGCATGTCTCAGACCCTGCCTGTAGCCCGTCCATCTCACGACAGCTGCCCTGTGCCAGGGCAAGATGATGAAAACAAACACCACGGCGCTAGTCCAGAGCCGTGCAGGTGCCGAACGGCCACTGTGACAGGTACAGTCAGGGTACAGTCTACAGCTGGCACCGGTACGAATCCATGCCAGCATGAACGCTTTCGCCGGGTGCCAAGAAACAACGGGAGCACCTCAAAGAGTCCACCACAATCAAATCGTTGTTTGCATCTGCATGCACTCCTTGGTCACATAGCAACTCCGATTGCGTGAAAGACCGGGCTTGTTCTGCCTTCAAAGTTTCGACATGCAGTGGTCCCGGTTGCTTCGTCGCACAATGCCGCAAAGGCCCTCGAAGACTCCGAGACGTTTTGCATGCCGAGTTCTGCAAACGGCGATGGTGTAAGCTAAGCAGCGTCACCGAGCAATGCCACGTCAGATCCGATGCACTGCAACCCTCAAGAAATGTCGCCATCCCTCCCTCACAAGGTCAGAACTACGGTGTTCAAAGGGTTGTAAGGGCATATCAACCGAGCTAAGGCTGAAGCCAAGTGGGTATCCTGCAGGCGTCATGAGACCCTGGTCGGCAGCCATAGCTTGGTTGTTGTCCCAACATCAAGCATGTGGAATTTAGAAGTGCAAACACCAACGGTCGCAAGCAACTGCTATTCCTATAAGTCTATAAGCACTGCTTCTCGTATCCCGAGACCTAGGTCCTAGATGTTCATATGTCTGGCACAGCACCGGCCGCCTGGCTGCACCATGCGCTGAGCAAACAGGTGTCGGTGCCAGAGTGACTCTCCACTCGACCACAGACGCAGATCCTCAGCTGGAATGATAAGGCACCTTGCAGGCTTCGGAACCACCAGATTTTGGGAGGTTCACAACCGGTGAGGCTGAAGACTTGGAGCTCTGACGGATTTCACCTGGGTGCCTCGAATGGCGCTGTAGGTGTGTTTTGGAGCTGAAGCGAGTCTTCAAGGTTACGTGGACGATGCACTTGCGGATGCAGATATGCTAACCCGACCGACCTCTTGAGTCATAATGTAGACCGCATTAGACCGCTCCCGAGCGAAAGAAGCTCTTTGGGGGATCACGGATCGCTGCTCTTGCTCCTTCAGAAGCTGTGCTTTCAGATCGCAACGTTGTCACGCACCCCCGTTATACTGGCCAACGAGGATGGTATGAAGAGTGAAGCCTGCCGGCTTGCCTGGAAGATCCTGGAAGTCTGAGTGCGCCCCGATAAGGCGCTCCACTTTGACAATTTGAGGTAGGAACTACTCAGTGTCAAGAGACGTCATGAGGCGGAGATGCTTTCGTTTGTCTATCGGTGGCGGTGCTGCATTGCCCTTCGTAGCATCCGCGACCCTGGTCTCTGGCTCCCTATGTATCTGGTTCGGAGGTTGCAAAACTCCTTCTAACTGCAACTGCTGCAACCGCAACCTGCCGCCGTTTCACTTCACTTTGCGTTGTTTGCGTTTCATATTTCACCCCACTACTCAAAACGCGAAGGCGTGTCGCATCGTGCAGTTCCTCCGTTTTTGTGTTGTGCGTTCGCTGTGGACGACATGCTTTTGATTTCACCCCCGCCTTGCTCATGAAGTCAAGACGCACACAGTCGGTCCCAACGTTGCTTGGAAGACATGTTTGGCTTTCATGGTTTAGTTTCACAACTGCACTGCTCATAATCCCCTCCCCCTAATATTAAAGGGTCGGGGCCCCCCCCCCTTCGCCCTAAATAAAAACTCGAAAATGTTTTTATAATTAGGGGGGTGTTGTTATCTCAATTCCTAGAAAGACAGGTTCTACAAGTAATTAAATGATGAAAATGATGACGATGAAAATGATGATGACGATTACGGTGTGCAGGTTCAACCTCTGCAACCTCTGCAACCTGCTGCTTCAACCTCTGCAACCTGCTGCTTCAACCTCTGCAACCTGCTGGTTCAGCCTCTGCAACCTGCTGGCTCAACCTCTGCGACCTGCTGCTTCAACCTCTGCAACCTGCTGCTTCAACCTCTGCAACCTGCTGGTTCAACCTCTGCAACCTGCTGGTTCAACCTCTGCAACCTGCCCCACGAAAGCCGGATGTGCACCCAGTCCCCTCTAGAGAGTCCCCGGACAGCCCAAAGCTTCAGGCCACCCCAAAATCTCGATTCCGGGTGGGGAAAGGGCCCAAACGACGCCCCTGGGGATTGAGCCCACGAATTTTGCCAAGAAGGCACTAGAGCCGGACACTTACCCATTAGGCCATGGCCAGATAGTTTTTGGCAAGGTTGCGCACCTTGGTAGTAGTTTTGGGAGAGGTCGCAGGCCCAATTCTTGCGGTGTCATTTTGGGCCCTTTCTCATCCAGAATCGAAATGTTGAAATGACCAAAAGCGCCAAGAGAGCACAACCACACCCGCCCAAAACCGCGCAAACCCACCAAACCTCTGCAACCTGCTGGTTCAACCTCTGCAACCTGCTGCTTCAACCTCTGCAACCTGCTGGTTCAACCTCTGCAACCTGCTGTTCAACCTGTGCAACCTGCTGCTGCTTCAACCTGTGCAACCTGCTGGTTCAACCTCTGCAACCTGCTGCTTCAACCTCTGCAACCTGCAGGTTCAACCTGCTGGTTCAACCTCTGCAAATTGCTGGTTCAACCTCTGCAACCTGCTGGTTAAACCTCTGCAACTTGCTGTGGATCAACCTCTGCAACCTGCTGGTTCAACCTGTGCAACCTGCTGGTTCAACCTTGCAACCTGCTGCTTCAACCTCTGCAACCTGCAGCTTCAACCTCTGCAACCTGCAGGTTCAACCTCTGCAACTGCTGCTTCAACCTCTGCAACTGCAGGTTCTGCAACCTGCTGGTTCAACCTGTGCAACCTGCTGGTTCAACCTCTGCAACCTGCTGCTTCATGCTGCTTCAACCTGTGCAACTTCAACCTCTGCAACCTGCTGCTTCAACCTCTGCAACCTGCAGCTTCAACCTCTGCAACCTGCAGGTTCAACCTCTGCAACCTGCTGGTTCAACCTCTGCAACCTGCTGCTTCAACCTCTGCAACCTGCAGGTTCAACCTGCTGGTTCAACCTCTGCAAATTGCTGGTTCAACCTCTGCAACCTGCTGGTTAAACCTCTGCAACTTGCTGTGGTTCAACCTCTGCAACCTGCTGGTTCAACCCTGCAACCTGCAGGTTCAACCTCTGCAACCTGCTGCTTCAACCTCTGCAACCTGCAGGTTCAACCTCTGCAATCTGCAGGTTCAACCTGTGCAACCTGCTGCTTCAACCTCTGCCTCTGCAACCTGCTGGTTCAACCTCTGCAACCTGCTGGTTCAACCTGTGCAACCTGCTGTGGTTCAACCTCTGCAACCTGCTGCTTCAACCTCTGCAACCTGCTGCTTCAACCTCTGCAACCTGCTGGTTCAACCTGTGCAACCTGCTGGTTCAACCTGTGCAACCTGCTGCTTCAACCTCTGCAACCTGCTGCTTCAACCTCTGCAACCTGCTGGTTCAACCTCTGCAACCTGCTGGTTCAACCTCTGCAACCTGCCCCACGAAAGCCGGATGTGCACCCAGTCCGCTCTAGAGAGTCCCCGGACAGCCCAAAGCTTCAGGCCACCCCAAAATCTCGATTCCGGGTGGGGAAAGGGCCTAAATGACGCCCCCGGGGATTGAGCCCACGAATTTTGCCAAGAAGGCTTTAGAGCCGGACACTTACCCATTAGGCCATTGCCAGATAGTTTTGGCAAGGTTGCGCACCTCGCTAGTAGTTTTGGGAGAGGTCGCAGGCCCAATTCTTGCGGTGTCATTTTGGGCCCTTTCCCCATCCAGAATCGAAATGTTGAAATGACCAAAAGCGCCAAGAGAGCACAACCACACCCGCCCAAAACCGCGCAAGCCCACCAAACCTCTGGAACATGCAGGTTCAACCTCTGCAACCTGCAGGTTCAACCTCTGCAACCTGCTGGTTCAACCTCTGCAACCTGCTGGTTCAACCTGTGCAACCTGCTGGTTCAACCTGTGCAACCTGCTGCTTCAACCTCTGCAACCTGCAGCTTCAACCTCTGCAACCTGCAGGTTCAACCTCTGCAACCTGCTGCTTCAACCTCTGCAACCTGCAGGTTCAACCTCTGCAACCTGCAGGTTCAACCTGTGCAACCTGCTGCTTCAACCTCTGCCTCTGCAACCTGCTGGTTCAACCTCTGCAACCTGCTGGTTCAACCTGTGCAACCTGCTGTGGTTCAACCTCTGCAACCTGCTGCTTCAACCTCTGCAACCTGCTGCTTCAACCTCTGCAACCTGCTGGTTCAACCTCTGCAACCTGCTGGCTCAACCTCTGCAACCTGCTGCTTCAACCTCTGCAACCTGCTGGTTCAACCTCTGCAACCTGCAGGTTCAACCTCTGCAACCTGCTGGTTCAACCTCTGCAACCTGCTGGTTCAACCTGTGCAACCTGCTGGTTCAACCTGTGCAACCTACTGCTTCAACCTCTGCAACCTGCTGCTTCAACCTCTGCAACCTGCTGGTTCAACCTCTGCCTCTGCAACCTGCTGGTTCAACCTCTGCAACCTGCTGGTTCAACCTCTGCAACCTGCTGTGGTTCAACCTCTGCAACCTGCTGCTTCAACCTCTGCAACCTGCTGCTTCAATCTCTGCAACCTGCTGGTTCAACCTCTGCAACCTGCTGGTTCAACCTCTCTGCAACCTGCTGGTTCAACCTCTGCAACCTGTTGCTTCAACCTCTGCAACCTGCAGCTTCGACCTCTGCAACCTGCTGGTTCAACCTCTGCAACCTGCTGGTTCAACCTCTGCAACCTGCTGGTTCAACCTCTGCAACCTGCTGGTTCAACCTCTGCAACCTGCTGTTGATGTTGGGAACTTGCACCGGGGAGGGTTTTGGTGGGTTTGCGCGGTTTTCGGCGGGTTTGGTTGTGCTCTTGGCGGTTTTTGGTCATTTCAAAATCGATTCTGGATGGGGAAAGGGCCCACGGGGACACCGCCAGAATTGGGCCTGCGACCGTGCCCAAATCCCCTACGGAGGCAGCTGCCAGCCCCCAGAACTATCTGGCCATGGCCTAATGGGTAAACGTCTGCCTCCAAAGCCCTCCTCGCAAAGGCAGCGGTCTCAATCCCCAGGGGTGTCATTTGGGCCCTTTCCCCACCCGGAATCGAGATTTTGGGGTGACCTGAAGCTCTGGGCTCTCTGGAGACTTAAGAAACGCTATTATAAGGGTTGCAGATCACACCAAATCCGTGCAAATGCACATTAAACCGTGCAAAGACATACGAAGTTCGTGCACATGCACACCAAGTTCGTGCTAATACACACGAAATGCGTGCAAATACACACCAAATCCATGCAAATACACACTGAATCCGTGCAAATACACGCCGAATCCATGCAAACACACACTAAATCCGTGTAAAGACACACACACTAAATCCCTCTAACTACACACCAGGCACACAGTAAATGCGTGCAAATACACACGGAATCTGTGCAAATACACACACTACATCCCTGTAATTAGACACCAAATACTGCGTGCAAATACTCACGATCCGTGCAAATCCATGCAAATACACACTAAATTCGTGCAACTACACAGGACGTGAGTGCAAATACACACCAAATCCGTGCAAATACACACGGAATCCGTGCAAATACATCTAAATCCGTGAATCCGTGCAAATACATACTAAATCCGTGCAAATACACACTGAATCCGTGCAAATACACACTAAATCCGTGCAAACACACAAATCCGTGCAAATACACACTAAATCCGTAAATACGCATTAAAAAAATAGGCTTCAATAAAGGCTTGGCTAATAAAGCTTTTCATGCGGCTCAATTGAGCAGTTGCTGACTCATGCAATTATAATTCTTCCCCCTAAACCCTCAATCTATAGACCCTAAACCTTCCCCTTAATTCAAATTAGGGTTTAAAGGGCGGTGCTACTTCCGGGTGGATCGGGGGAAAAGTGTTTTTATAATTAGGGGGTCCTTTAATAAACGGGGGAGGGGATTAAGCAAGCAGCTGTGTAGTTCTGACAAACCGAAGACGTGCCTACATTTGCCCGTTGTCGTGTTATGCTATTCTGGACGACATGTTTGTCCCACATTTTGCTTCCCTGTGATCTGCATGATCTTGTCCGCAGGCGACCCTCTTCACGAAATACTCGTTTTACTGATGCGGATCTCTTCGCATAGTCTTCTGTATCTTAGAGAAGTGGTAGTTGATCAGAAGCAGTGCTGGTACTGTTTGGGCTAATGCTCGTAGGATGTTACCAACAGCGGGAATTCGGTTTTCGTACATCGCGAAAGCTAACACGGCATAGTACGAACAAAACCATAGCAATAGCTATCAAGAGCAGCAATAGTGACGGTACTCACTGGTAGATGGTAAGCAGAATTGATTCGTCGTCTTGGCACATAGCGACACAAGTACTAGTAGCAATCATACAAGAAGAACATGCTTTGAATGCAGATGCTCAATGGTCTGCGGAGCAGATGTGCCTGGCTTTTTGTCACTCGCACTCGACAGAGACAGGCGAGGGCTCTGAAAAAAAAGACTTACGCAAGACTTTCGCGCTTTATTGATCGGCTTTGGGGTATTTCGGGTGGATGACCTGCTGGAGTCTGAAGCTGTGCAAAAGTCTTGCTGCAAGCCTGGAGACAGCACACGGCCTCATTGCATTGTCATAAGATCTTGATACTGACGAGTCGAGATCAACTAGTAGTACATATTGCGAAGCATTTTTTGGCTCCCGCTTGGCTGATCCGAGGACCGCATTGCAGGTCACATGTGGGATACGAGGTTGGGGGCACACCGCAGCTGTCGTGCGACCCCGATCGACTGGAGCCGGTTTGTGCATACCTCTCAGTCCACCCGGTACCATCAGAACCCTAACAAAGCACAGCCAGAAACTCCGGCACAAACACTCTCGGGCACCAGCGACCTGTCAAGGGCTCAAGGCTTTCCTACGTTGCCCTTCGCAATGGTCATGTAAACACTTTTACAACACGGCCGTTTTCCCCATTGATATGTGAGGCATAGCCCCTTCTGGTCGGGGGTGGTGCCTTCAGTTACAGGCACTGCCCCACACGCCAGGGGAATACTGTTGGAGTCTGCGCAGCCAACAGGGGATCAGCTAGCGTGCTTGTTCCCTTAGTCTTGCTGCCGGTGCGTATGGGCCTGTTTGGTTCGGCCACCCCGCACCGCAAGCCCTTTCTCCGAGCCAGTGCCCCCAGCTTAGTACCCTTGTGAGGGATCACATGGGGAAGAGCTGCGACGTGGGCTGTCTTGCCAAATGCCCAAATCCAACCCAAGCTGTGCAGCTTGGGGGGGCGGGCCCATGGAGGCTCGGGTGGCACTTTTCCCTGCTTGGATTGAGGGGCTTGGAGCGTCGAACTCTTGCCGGATCTCCCCGATGACGAAAACGGAGGGGGCAAGAGATGGCGGGAGGGAACGTTTCCGTTCGGCCGGAGTGCACCCCAGGCCACTCACTCACTCACTCACTCACTCATCACTCACTGATATGTGAGGCATGTTGGGTGTTGACCCTGTAGCAAGGGTGTGTCTGGTGTTTGTCCCTTGGTCATGGAAAAAGCACCTGCTTGGTTTCTTCGTTGCTTTAGTCATCTTTAACTTTAGTTTCACCGATGAGAACGTTACCCAGATCTGTGACACACTCAGAAGGACTAAGGGGCGCACTGTTCTGCCAAAGGTGCATCACCTAAGGTTGAAGTTTCAAGATTGGGAGGAAGGAGCTCAGGGCAAGTGCAGCCACCGGACTTGGAGCTTCCCGAGAGCCGGGCACGTGCCATCGTTGGGTACCGGACAAACTTGGCCTGGAAATTCCGCACCTTGCAAACCACGGGTGTGCCGTAAAATTTACAGATGCATGGAGTTCCAGGTCCTGAAAGAGATGGGATAGCGGATAGCGCCAAGAAGCACAAAAACAGCGTCATGTGACATCCTGCACGGAGTGCCTAACTATTAATCATTAATCCTCCTAAGCTAGCCTGATCAGACTCTGGCGAACCGTGAAGGTCCATTAAGCTTGTCCAAGTGATGGACGACAGGCCGCAAGGTCGGCCTCGGTGATTCGTTGCTTTTCGAAGCCACATTGCTGACATGGGCTTGGAAGGCACTTGGATGAGTAGGAGGTCGTGGGGGGGAGCAGGGGGCTGGGCAGGTTCCAGCTTTGTCCTTACTTAGCAGCCATGACAAGTTGGACACGTGCTGTTCTACAGGCAGCATGCAGCACATGACTTTAAGATGTGCTGCTGTCAGCAGCGTCCGTGCTTTGTGGTGTACATGTGCACGTACCGAGTCACGAGTCAGTCTTGAGTTATCGAGCTGAAAGTTTCCCCAGTTGGGCTGTGCATGCACTGGGTTAGGATGAGCATGGGCTTGACAGATTGTTTCACCTGGCTCCTCGGAGACTTTGAGCAACGCCCCGTGATTCCCTTTGCCCTTCATGGCCGCGCCAAGCTACAAGCTGGTTGGCATGGGTTACGGCCCTCTCGCCGTATGAGCCTTTTTGACTACAACCTCCAGCATGCAATTGTTAACGACCCGTATAGATTTGTCGCCAAGCTGTCATACTTTAGTTGGCCGGCAGCAAGCAGATTGATTGAATCAAGTTCGCCTTTCTCAGCATTATGGCAGACTGGCATTCCTGGCAGTGCACATGGGCAGTTAATCTCCTCAAGTTGTCTGCCATGCAGCTGTAAGGTCATGGCAGACGACTTGACACAGCCTCGACCACGTGCGAGGCAGTAGTCACGGCCTCGGAGACGTCTCAAGCAAGCGACTCAAGCTACGCACTTCCAGGCAATGCGCCGCCTCGCCACCTCGAGCTGACTGGGCTCGTGCGTTGCGGTTGCAGCCAAGATGCAAGAATTCCCGGCGGTCACAACACGGCTTGCACAGTTCTCTGGGCCTGCAGCAGTATCAAGAGGCTACCTGTGGCCATCCGTGGCGCTTCAAACGTGCAGTCAGTGATGCAGCTGGCACAGCTGTCACACCCCGACCCATGAAGTTGAACCCAAGTTGAAGATGATGAGCGAGATGTGGGAATTTCAAGTCGTGAAAATACAGGACAGAAGTCCGACAAGCAAGGTTTCTTTTCGTCGCACACGGCGGCTCGGATCTATTCACAATCGGAGGTCCTGTCCAGTGTCCCACACCTGAGGTTAATTTCTCGTCACTGAAATTTCGATTGGTGGCACGCGAGTTGGCCATGAACAAAGCTTCTACTGCTATCAAAGAAACTCGACCGACGGATTTGGTCTGTCTGCCAAGATGCAACTCTGAAAAGATCTGGCGATGCCGCTCGACGCTCAACTGCTCCTACGCGCTGGCGATCACCAGGTTGAATAGACATGTGGGAGGGGAGAGGAGAGGGACGGCGAGGTTGGGATATTCAACCAGAGCGAGATTGCAACAGTAACGAGGGAAAGCAAAAGAGATCGAGAGGCAGAAACAAAACGAAAGAGCGCTTCATTCCTGTAGATATATAAGTGCAGGATGGCTTTAGGCTAGACTGCCGCGGCAAACCTGCCAGAAGCCTGAGTTGTGGCGCTGCAGTTGTGACTTTGAGCACAGGTAATACGGCAAATTTTGATGCATTCTTGATCATTTCCGGCTTCTCCGAGCCTATAAGAAGGAAAAGAACATGGCCTCGGGTTTTGCAAGCCCCGCCAAATAACACCTGTTTGGGATTTTGGTCTTGAGCTCTCTTTGGGCTGTTGCAGTTGGGAAGCCGTCGAATGCAATTCTTGGCCAATACTGGCAAACTGGTTTAAACTGGGGAGGCCTCCCCAAAGTCTGTGTGTTTTAGCACGGTTGGGAAGGTCAGAACAGCAACACGAAGACTGCGCTTCTGCGCACAGCTTCGACCCCTTCCCGAGCCTCTCTGCGCCGGATCACTTCTCGTGACGCCCGGTATTGGAGCCGTTTCTATGAAGCCGACCAAAATTTCGAGTCTGTTCATATTTGTTCTGTTTTCTGCCTCTTTCTCAGCTAGCAGGCTGCAGCCACTGAAACTTCGCATTGAAACAACCCTGCATTCCGATCCTTGAACTTTTGCATCTTTTGCCACGCGGCTGACCAATCACTTCTACTAATGCAAGGCATGTTCTAAACCAAGCTGGCAGGCATGACATGGAATATTGCCGGCAGACGAGCGCCCAAACAACTTCCCCTCCACACTATGCCACGTTCCTTCATGACAGCAACAGTGTGGAATGCAGTGCTTTCAATTCCTTGTCGCGAACAGTTGATGCAGGTCCTTCATCTCCCAATTGTCCGGCGCGAGTAGAAACTATTGCCAGATGTAGCTGCTGCAACTGGCAACGGAAGATAAATTTGTACATGCTGGAACCTTTCGCAGTGCTTCAATTGTATGAAGCAGTCTTTTCGACAAGTCTTGTGACCAACCATGGGTTTCCGAAATGCACGACTCAAATAAACTGGTGGAAACAGGAGTTGACGTGAACTTGGAACCAGCCGCACGCAATGTTGCACGAGGACTCTTTCAGGAGACTTTTAGACTTTTTCGAATTCTTCGACATGTTCGCGTCCGCGAATCATGAGTCGTAAGTTGATGACAAACATGTAAAGCCACAGGGGAGTGAGCCACGGGGAATGCAACGGAAACTCTTGCAGGGGGTCGTTCACAGTTGGGGCAGGATGCGTACTGAAGCCGAGCCCAAGCATTGTGTGGAAGAGCCGGGTCCTGGTGCTGCTGCCTCAAAGACTGGACACTCTCAGTCATGCTCTCGCTCGATTGCACGGATCCTCACAAGCTTAAGCTTAGCCATGGAGCAGCACAGTGTGGAACTCACAGAGGTCACGGGCTCGCTCACGTCTTTCCTGACACCAATTTTGGAGGTTGCAGCATGGTCAGGTTTAGAGGCTACCGGTTGTTGCACTGCTTCAAAACGGCCATCTCATGGACACGACTGCAGCACTGCCCCGTTGCAAGCCTGCGTAACTTCCAGGGCAGCCGTGGTTGCAGCAGCTTCGGCTGTCTCCTTTGCAGCCTGTGCCTTCCAGGAATTCTTCAAGGCTTCCGGCTGAACATCATCATTGATTGAGCAATAACATGATGGCTGAAGACAGCAAACGCTGGGATCGACACGAATCGAACCAGGAAACTTTTTCGTATTTGTGTTCACGCCTCTGTCTCTGGCTTTCACCCCGGACAAAACGGACGAACCCCCGCACACGTGTGATCTTTGCTGTGCTTTGTTGAATTAGCTCTCTCTGTCTGTCTCTTTCTTTCTTTTGCCAGGAGGTTGGGCTTGTGGCGCCTTGGTGTCGTGCCCTTGAAGCGGGGTTGGCGAGCGCATGCCGTCAGGATCCCCGTGATCTCACGCCGCTTCTTGTTGCCGTTTGCAGGCCCATCCTCCCCTCGCTTCAGGTTGTAGGTGGGTGCCCCCTTGTCATGTTCGTGATGCTGGGGCCTCGCCCTTCGGTAACTCCGGGCATGCACCTGAGGCAAACTCTGTTCCCATCCACATATACCGGGTCCTTGCTCTTCGGCGCTTCTCTGTGGGTGGTGCTTCCAGGGCTTGTACTCCCTATCTTTGAGCTGTCTGCTCGCGTCCTCGTGCAATTGTAGGATGTATTGCTTGTTCCCGGTGTCCATGCCATTTTTGCGTCGTGACCTCACTCTTGTCCCTCACCCATTCCCCTGGTACGGGGACGTCTCTGCCAGTCGTCTTTGTGAGGTCCCCTTCCTGCAGTTCCCCGTAGAGCAGGTGGGTCTGCGGAATCGCCTGGTGTTCCGCGGTGAGATGGCATGCCGCCACGCCCTGCTGCTGGGATTTGGGGTCCCGCCAGGTCATCGGTGCAGGGAAGCCCGAAGGGGCCAGGGTCAGGGCTGGTCTTGGCTTGGTGTCCCCATGCCCTCGTGAGCCAGACTTGAGCCAAAATGGCTACGGATTCTCTCACACTCTCGCTCTGTGTTCAGTGATCCCGCCTCAGCCAAGTAAGTAGCTTGGAGCCTCTGCGACTCCTCGGTTCAGGCGCTGCTAATGCTAACAGGGAAAGCGTGGAAGGTCCGCAGCAAACCGGAGTGCTTGAAATTGCATGACCCGCGGTCCTCAGCTACTCGTTCAAACGCCCGTCGCGTCTCTCGCTCGGCATCCATCTGATTGGCCAGGCATCTTATATACTGTTGGAAACGCAGGTAGTGGGCTGCCAAGACGGATCCGCAAACTCATTCGGGCTAAAAGCAGGGGACTTGCACCGACATTCGGGGCAGCTACAACCTGCGGCCTGCAGCCACCTGGGAATGCTTGGACGCCTGTGCCTCCTTTGAGGCGGCTTGGAGCTCGGCGGTGAGCCCCACAACCTCCGGCCACGAGTCCAAGCCTCTACGAAGCTACGATCCTCAACATCTTCTACAGCTACGCAACAGAACAGGACGTCCATCGCACATCGCGGCGCAAGGGCCGGCAAGTAGCAACTGACAAGTGTCATGCTGCAGAAATGCTGTCAGGTTGCTAAAGCTGCGAGCTCCTCCCTTTCGGTCTGTACTATTGAGACCTCTGTCTGGGCATGCTGACGCTCCGCAGTTGCTTTGGCAGCCACCTCCTCCTCCTGAATGAACCCAGGAAGCCCAGCTGGCAAGTTGCTTTCTTCTTAAATTTTGGTGCAACCCTTGATTGCGTTCTCGAGCCCGTCAACCTCAGCCGAAGCGGTCGGAGGTTCCTTCTTTCCCCTCCTCTTAATCACCTTAAATGGCCACCCAGCCCCCCTTCCCTTAAGTTGGATTTTGAACAGAAAAGGCAGAGAAAAGAGTGCCCCCGCCGTCCCGGTCAAACTAAATGTCGGATCCGGAATGTGATGTCTGATCCTCATCCCACAAGTTGAAACTTCAATCTCTTACAGTCTTACAGGTTTTCTCCCTCCTGGCTTGCCCGTTGCTGGGACAATCGTTGCTGGTGCTCCGCATACTGGAAACTTTCCTCCAAAGCTGTGCGCTGCTGCAGGAGCTCGTCCACATTGCTGCGTTGCTCCAGTTGCTGCTTTGCGAGTTTTGCCTCTGCAGCTTGGCACTCGGACAACGCCTCATCTCTTCGGCTTGCTGCGGATTGAGCGAGATGCGCGGCAGTGCTTACTTCCGCAGAAAGCTCTTGCTGCAAGCCTGCGCATCAGAATGCATCCAGTTCAAGCAGCTTGAAACATCACCCACTCCGCACTACACCGGAGAACCGACACTTGAGGCAAGTGGCAGGTGTTCATAGTTCTCGCCTCCAACTTAACGGCATTGGCTTCGCTGGCCGACGTGACCATCTCTGCTTGTAGCCGTCCGACGTCTTGTTCCAACTGAAAGCGCTCAGTCTCGAAGCCCGCTCGAGCCACTGCTAACTCTTCTGAGATGGCGAGGCATCGATCGGAAATTGCTTGGTGTCGCAATTGGGCATCTCGTTGGGCATTGACCTCCGACTGTCGCCATGCAAGCTGTGCGCTGGTGTAGCGCTGCTCCTCAGGGCCCCAGGGCACTCGGACAACGCCAAAAGCCTGCCAGATTTCAATGCTACCCTTTTGGAACAACTTAAAGAACTCCTGGTAGGAGATCTGTGACTCGAGCTCCAAGCGCTGCTGCCTCCACTCTTGGGCCCTTTGGTCCAAGACTTCTGCAAACTCACTCTGCCACAAGCGTTCTTGTTTCTGCCGGCACTCCTCCAGGATCTCAGCCTCAAGTTGTGCAAGCCTCTCTGCTTGCTGTCGGCCTTAGTCGACATGGCAAATTGCCGTGGGGAAACCAGTTGCGAAAGAATTCGCCAAGCTGCAAACTGCGACCGCGCTCCAGGGAGTTTCCCCATTGATCAGTGCATATGCATTGGCCGTGTCAGGCGGTGGTGCTGGTGCATAGATTGGCAAGGCCAGTGCAACAGTCGGGCTCTGCATCACGTCTTCGTGTCTCTTTCCAACCTCTGAAAGCATCAGGTGACGGATCGGCAGGTGGCGTACAAAATTAACACTTCTAGATATAGCATGAGCCGGAATCCATGCAGCTGAAGTCCGGAAACGCTTGCGAAACCAAATTTAGAGACATCTTCTCTTTCCGAGCAGCGTCAGGAGGCATCTGTCCGCTTGACACGTCATCCGGACCGGCCGCCAGCGATTCAGCTTCGGTGAGATCTGGCGGCTCTGCTATCGGTTGCTGTGCAGACAAAGCCTCTTCCTTAGCTGTGCTTGAGCGCTCCCAGGATTGGCCCGTCGGCGTACCAAACAAAGATTGAAACGGTTAAATCACGCTCGCAGTCTTAACCGCGCTGCTATGGGTGCCGTGGCCGCGGCCTCTGTTGCGTGCAGCGTTGGCTCAGTCTCAAGTGCTTGCGGATGAAAAGAGTCGGGTAGTCGGACTCGACTCTCCCAAGCTGCCCTGAGACAAGAAGCTTGAAGAAACCCTGCTCTTCAGCTAGAATCTTACAAACAGCCCTGGCAGCGAGCTGATGCCCACTGCTCAACCAAAGAACGAATGGAATCGTTTGCAAATCGCCGAACCGTAGGCAACCCAAGGCCCCCAAGCCATGATAGTCCTGAGCCGAAGCCCGGAGCTGACGAATCTTGTCGCATCCGGGCAGATGCTATACAACGGGCCCTTCGACATCATCCGACAATGCGACAACGGGCAGGGGCATGCGGGGGCCTTTGACACATGATGACGAGGGCTCGTACAAAACCCATATTCCATCCCATAACTAATGCAATGAGCCTCTCAGGCAGCACGTAGCCACATCGACGTAGGGGCGCTACGTCTGCACGACGGCGCGCCACTGCCATCAGCCCGAAGAGCTTCTCTCAGGATTCGTGATGCAGGCTCGGGTGCAGAAGTTCGGGGTTCTGCCATGGCAATTTTATCTTGCCCAATGATACAACTTGGCTCCAAGCTGAGACCTAGCATCTGATGCAAGTTCTAGTGTGACTGTCCAGTCGAGCCATGTCGAGACGCCCAAGCACTCCCTGCCGCCACCACAAGCCAGGAGTGCTCATACCGACAAGTTGTGCATTGAGAGGTGAGCGTGTCTGTGTGTGTGCCAAACCTGACCAGCTCCGCAGTTGGTCATCGCACTTGATCCCCTCCATGTTTGAACCTGATTCCACTTGGCATGGCTCGCAAGGCCAGTGTCTTTTGCATGCAGCTCCGGTTACCCTTGCACGTGTGTTTCTGAGAATCGCGCAGTCAACCTGCGGCAGAGCCAAGCAAATCCAAGAACAGAGCGAATTGTTTCCATCGACACACTCGCCCGCATGTGCCAATACGTCAGGCATGTTCTTGCACACCCCTGGACTGCTGTCCTCGTCCCAAACACCGTGCATGAAAAGGCTGCCGACTTCCACGCTGTACTCCTCGCACTGGACCTTCCCCAGCATCGAACAATCATGCTGCATGATGCTGCAGAGCGCTCAAGAAGACTGTGTGCTACGGCGCTACGGAGATTGTCTGAGAGCTCGGCTGCCGTGCAGACAGGGTCACGACCATGCAAGATGCCCACGCCATCGCAGACGAAGGTTTGCTCTGGGCACCAGGGAGACAGGTATGCACACACATATACGCTGCTCTCCATGCAATTGCAACTCGGCCCACAACCAGGACTTGGCGCAAGGCGTGCACCACTCCAACCACCACGGCATTGCGCTGTACAGCTCTGTCCTGGGCCCAGTGCCGTGTCTGGCCACGCGAGACTGAGGAATAGATGTGGTGGAACTGGGGGTGACGGTGGGCTGCCTGCCTTTTAGAAGTCTGGGTATGTCAGCAATCGGCCCTGTCAAGCCACTGTTCCTTTCTTAGCAATCTGCTCACACGACGCAGTTGACTCATGGCTCCTCTGCTTCGTGAAGTCTTCGCCGGGTTGGCAGCACGACAGTGGTAGGGGAGGGGTAAGGGATGGAGGGAGGGGATAGATAAGGAGAGAGGACAAGGGGAAGAGAGAAGAGACAGGAACAGGAATGGGGCTGGAAGGAGGTAAAGCCAAGCTCGTCGCCTGTCTTCCGCCCTGTGCAGTCATGGACCTAAGACGCTTCAGGCAGGATTTGCAGCTTGTTCTGGATCGTTGCAGTTGGGAAGGTGAAGGCCTGGCACGAGATACAGTTGTCGCCACTAGCGGCTGGTGCAGGCATGGTCTGCAGCGCATGCAGAATGACTGCATGCAGGGGTTCCGCTTGAGACGTATGACTGCCAGCATGAAAAAAAGTACAAGTGTACCCTCAATGGGCGGGGTTAGAAGGGGGTCGTTTACTAAGGAACCGTGGGAAACTTAGCAAAGGCTTGAATATTAGACGCCGGAGATTTGAGGCTGAGGACGGCTAGGCCATATTCTCATACACCACTCTTAGACCCCCGTCAAGGCTCCCGTTACAAAACTCGTTCTTAAGGCTTTAGCCTACCAGCTGCATCTTCCTCAACTCGGACATGCACTTTGTGAACATGATGGTGCATGCATGAGCATCAAGCAAACCAAGGAACTCACCACGGCAAGGCCCACAGGAAAGCCTTGTGTGCAGACAACTGCATCGAAGAAGCTTGCCTGGCGCTGGTCTCTGGTAGGCCAAACACTTTTGTTCAACCAAGGCGACCAGCCTGGCTTGCATGAGTTCATGATCTTGACGTGCCATGCACTTTAAGCTCTGTCGAAGCGAAAGCCCCGCCAGCTAGGCAGGTATGGGTCTGTGGACGATGCCGCTGGGCAGTCGCACCTAGAACAGCCACAAGATGCAGCATGTGAACTTCGGTAGCTCAAACATCAGGCTTGAGGGCGAACATATTACGGAATGATCCTGCTACAAGTAAGCTTCCGGCGACTCTCCCCATTTCTCTAACAGATCTAGCAGTGACATGACTCGGGCACAGTGGAGGTCTGGGAAACAGAGAAACAGCTTCGCGCCCGTACAGCGTCCCGATGTGCATCACTGCGAACATGACACTCCTGCAATCAAGTGGTCGGACTGGACACGCTCCTTGTGCAACACCTGGCACCATCAAGAAAATGTATTGCGAGTCTAACATTGCTATCAATCCACTGGACCTGGAGGCATGGGCAACGGCACCGGCTGCACGGCAATTGAAAACAGCCCACAGGGTAACAAACTCAACATCTAGTGCTGCAAAGCCCTGCTTCAAAGTCTGCCTCCAGGTAGTATAGGTGTCCAGCCTGTTGAAAACGGCGGGATGCACCCCGTTTTCCTTTTGGGCCGGTTGTCACCCCTGCAGCACAGTCCTGCAACGATGGCTCCATCCATCCTCCCTATCACAAAGGATCCGGTTACTGATTCCCAAAGTCGTACTGACATGCTTGGGTGGTGGTAGTTTTCCACGAGATCAGTGCGGCTCTGAAGCACGGCCTCCATGTAGTAGCTTCCTGACCTCAGCAAACCAACTCAACGTTGGCCAATCTGCGCAATCTGTCGAAATTCAACACAGGGTCTTCACCGAACAGCTGCTGAGGGACAGGAAAGTCCAAACCCATCCTTCATTTATACTTAGTCCTGTCATGTGATTTTAAGCGAATCTCCGGCAGCAAAAGCTGCTGCATGCACAGCTCTTGACAGCTTCTTTTAGCTACTTTAAAGAATGCGGGGCAGCCATGAGAAAGCTGGGACTGTCGAATGGGAGCCACTTCATAATACACGCACGCGAGCATCTGGGGAGCCTACAAGTTCAAGGTGCCCTGTTTGCCACATGGCGAGAGCGACAAGCATCAGCCCTTTCAGCTGAGTGCAGCTAACTCCCGGGGCAGCTCAAGTTCAACACATGTATCATGCGCTGGCTTGCTGCCGAAAACAGATCCGGAGACATCGCGCCAGTCGTTCATGGAGTCCGAGAGAAGAGAACGCGACAGCAACAGCCACAGTTCCCCACGAAGCGGCAGCCCAGAGCCCGGTTCTTGTAGCCCAAATGCTAACAGCGGTTCCGAGTAACATCAATGCATTGGACACCTGAGCTTCCATGAAACACCATGGCTATCACATTTATGTTGATAACAGCCGCCGGTCTCAAAGGTAATCAACTAAAGCCGAAAGGTTGCAGCCCAGGTGCGACAAGAATGAACATGGACAGGAGAAAGTCGAGCCAGGCATTTCGACGGGGAGCTGCAAACCGACTGCAAATGTAGACAACGAACTGAAACATCAATAAAATCCTCAGCTCAGTGCCAGGTCAGTCTTCCAGAAGACTTGAGAGTGAGCACGAATAGAATCGACAAAAGGACTCCTCGTTTTGCGGTCCTGCCTATCTCGCTGCCTCATGTACCCGTATTATTCTGTGCAGCGGCACTTGCCCAAGGTCGAGACTCATGCAGATCGCTGTGGTCAGCTTCCGCTCCATTGTGCACGCTGATTGTCTGTGTCTTGCTTTCGGCCGGTTTGGCTTCACAAGTGTCGGGGCCGTTCATTGAAGCGTTTGGCTTTAAACTTTAATCTTGCCCAAGATTCGAAGACATCAAGCCGATGCTGTGGCCGAACAGGTGGCGCAAGACATTGTTCACTGGCGCACCACCCTTTCCGTGAAACAGTTGCGACATGTCCGGCAAGCACAAACGTCTGATCGGAATTCTCGACAATCATAGGTTCAACGGTGAGTGCAAAGCATGGTCGCAACATGTGTCGGACAGAACAATCTATCTGGGTTCCGACTTACGGCTTAGGGATGCTCTGGGAGTGCTTGGCGGAGGCGTAGACTCACCGTTGGACAGCCCTAGATGATTAACATCTCGAACAGGCCTTGCACAGGGACAACAGCTCTTCCATGCTTCCGTTCATGCCTGTCATGAGCAGCACCTCCAGGCACGGCATGTCTGTTCTATTCAAGCAGATCTGACGGAGCACCAGGCAGGATCGGGTTGCAAGACGTGCCCTACGCCGCCAAGTGTACACTTCTTCTACCTACACCTCTCGCAGCCAATCTGCAGCGAGTATGGCAACTGAGGCCAGGCGCAGCATAGTACTCCAGGGGAAGACTGAAGTTGCCCGAGGATTGTAAGAGCTCGAGTCGAAGCGGTCCACGGACATAATCAGTGAAACTCTGCGAGCCGCCATACCAATCCTGCGTCAGCAGCCGAACAAGCGGAAGCGGGTGGGGTGCAGGTAATTAGGGTCGTTCTGTAATTCCACTAAAGCAGCAGCAGGCGGCATCTCTTGAATGGTGATATCCAGGAATGAACTTATGAATCGGCTGTGGGCATAGCCAATTTCAAGGCCCAGTGACGTTAATAGCTCCGTTCACAAAGTCTCGATCGAAGTCGGTCGTGCAGCCGGCTTGTTGAATGTCGAAGTGGACAAGTCCCTGGATCAAGGTTTCCTTCTCGTACATGCTCCGACCTGCAACAAGTACCATAGCCCGATTCTATAGCTGTCATAATTGTCATAGTGCTGGTCCATGGCTCGGGATTCAAGATTCAGGTCAACCCACGCTGTTAGATGTTCTTTCCATGTCTATGCGTAGCAGAGTGTCCAGATTCTTTCCCAAGGTTGTCTGTGTTGGCTGGCGGGCTGAACCAGTTTCCGTTCAAAAATTGAATCTTCAGAGTGACGACCGACACAACATGAAACTGAGAATAATCACACATCATTCTCGGCCAGATTGCCAAAAGAGAGCCCGGATCAAGCTGGCCATGACAACAACAGCAAGTCATGAGATGTCGATTCAGAAACTAGCATGGCTTGACACTGCCATGTTGAGCAATAAAAACAGTGCCTCAAACACTAAATGGTCCGAGTTGCGCAGCAGACGCAGCTGCACGGAGAGTGGAAGTACCGTGAGAAGCCAAACTGCAATGACCAAGTTGTTAAAAAGTTGGGAAGCTAGCGATGCCCACAGCATCACTACCAGCAGAGCAAAGCTAGACCAAAGCATATAAGCAGTGAGCTCCACGAAAACTGGCGCAAAAACGATCTTGCCGTTGGGATTGGCCCGGCGATATGCCGCTAACTCAAAGATGCACCAAAGCCTGAGCAAACAGAAACTGCTGGGGCTTCGGATTGAGGCAGCAAGAACACAAAAGACCCTCAAGGAGCCTGGAGAAATAAGGGCGTGTCCAAAGAACTCGAAGCTCTTGTGCTACACTGAGGAATCCTCCTATACCATAGATGCCTCGCTCCATGAGCACTTGGTCTGTCTGATTGATGCTGGCAGCATCTACGAAGCACATCGGTGAGTTTATTGGCAGCAGGGGACTGAGAAACAGAACCAGAGGTGGCAATACCATCCCCAGAAGCACAATCCATGGTCCCAGCGGGACGATTTCATTGAAATCAGCGTGTAACACCTTGTATTCAAAGGGCATCGGGAGGACATCGAAAAAGCACAGCAACGAGACCAGCGGGATCGCAACAACCCATGCCGTCAGCATTATAGGCCAGCTGCTGGAAAGCAGGAGAGCTGCACATTTCCACTTGCTTGCAGTGGCCCATGAATGCGAGATGAAGACATCAAACTCCCGGGCTGGAAAAGATTTCTTCCAAATGCGATATCGAGCCTTCGTGTCTAAGTCAAGCGGCGTCCGGTCCCACAGGCGCCCAAACTCCCAGACCGCCGTTCGCAAGGGTATTGCATGGATGAGCTCTGCATCGACCTCCAGTTGCCGTGCATCTCTGAGTCGAGTCATTCGTCCCGGATGGGACGACAGAGATTCCTTGGGGCTGGGGGAGGCTGAGCTGCCATGAAGCGAACTTGCTTTCAAGCCATGCAAGTCTGCATCTCCAAGGTGGTAAACCGTGGAAGACAAAGCCTCCACATGCTCAATATTGGCGGGGGAATCCATGTCGTCGTCATGCCTTGCAAGGAACAGTGGACGATTTTGACGACAGAATTCTGGGCGCATGCTCTCTCTTCCTGCTGAACCCTATGGTCTACATGTCATGTAAAAATGGAACTAAAGATGCAGCACGAAGGCGAAACTATTCCGGCGACATGTCTGCTGATTGCCATTGTTCCATATGTCACTCATTCCCGTGGCTCTCTTTTGCTTCGCTCAGGGCATACACAGGACATGGGCACTCCACACTCTATCTCCCTCTCTGCGTCTGCTGCATCCTGATCTTGATCCCAGAGACGCCCAAAACGAGGCAAACAACAAGCAAAACGCGACTGCTCTCACGAACCTGGTTTCGCCAGGAACTGCTTTGTTTTATTGTCTTGTAGCTGATTCGTGGAAAAGCACCTCGGCACTGCAGGCTCTGCACGAACCTCTTCGACAGTTGGGGTGCAAGCAGCCCCATCATCCTCAATGACTAGGAGGAATCAGGTTTTCATGCCACTTTTATCGCATCTCAGATGATGGAACTGACAAGCAAACAACAGTGCTCTGTCCTGACATGCCTGGCAGGTGCTGCCTGCATGGCCCATCGCATTTGCAACTAGCGCGTGCAAGGCTCTGCTGCCGAAAAATAGCTCACCAAGCCAGTCTCATGTTGCCGCGAACGCAATGTCTGATGATGTGAAACCTGAAGCTGTCTAGAATTCTTGTACGTGCTGTCACTGTCAAGTTTCGTCTGAGCTTCGATTGGTCAACACGGGGAGCCTGGAGGTACTGGCTTGTGGCAGTGTAATGCCTCCCCTATCGAAGCACACCGTCGTGCTTGTGTGTCTGCGAAGGACACCGGGTCGCCAGCTGGGTGGGAAAGCTGTCCCACGCATCAGGACCTGTCAAGCCGTACTGCGCTGTCGGGCCGTCGGCAGTGCACTTCTATTGTCAAGGCTCGCGAAGCTTGAAACCTGACCTCTTGGATTCAGTACCCCTCAATCTCCAAATGAAAAGGATCATTGTCGGAAGTGGGTGGCCAAAGACATCTGTGACCAGCCCATGTCCACAAACTCAGAATGTGCTGTTGACAAAAGCTGCGGTGGCACTGCGCACGCACCTGGAGCATATCCTTGACGGAGAAAAGGGCCTTTCAGAGAGAGGCCCACTTAGAAAGGCGCCCTCATCCTGCCTGACGTATGCATGGTCGTGTTGTCCAAAGCAGCAGATTTACCTCAACCCTGTCTGAAATGTATGGTCGTAAGGCTCAACAGCTTTCACCCCCATCCTGTATGACATGCATGTGTTTGCCTTCGCTGACACGCACAGCGAATGAGCGGGTATTGTCGATTCGGCAGATCGACTGACCCTGGTCCTGCTTGACGTGCATGGGCACTTTGCCTACCGAAATCTTCCTTGACATGACAGAGCCTGTAACCTGAAGGGGCAAGTGAATGTGAGTCGTGCTGCACATGTATCATTGACAATACACAGGCGTGTAGCCCAAGGTGGCAGGATGTTTCCTTCCGCGAGTGACCATTAGTCTTCAATCCTGACTCTACACGTATGGGCGAGTAACCCCAATGTCTGTTAGACCCATTGCGTTAAGTTTGCTTGTCCAGTGCACCCCGATTATGATTTGCCCCCAACCTGCTTAGCAGTATTTGGGTGTGTAGCCCTGCTGGCAGATCTGGCCGTGGCCATATCCTCTTCGCAATGCAATGGGCTGACATGAGGACATCCGGCTTGGAGGGCCGAGTGGCCTTGATACCAAGTTTGAGCCTCAGAGATGTAGGCGACCTGGCAGTGCAGCTTATGCTGATCAATCCAAACCGATCCAGCATGAGGGGGCAAAAATCCAGTTTAATTTGAGGCCCCCGCAACTTGTCCTTGAGTGTCATTGAAGGCGTCACTGATCCTCAGCCTCGGCTGGAACACGGCCACCAACCTTTGCTGCTGAAGTGCTCTTGATTCATGCCCTCGAAGGCTGCATGCGATCTGGAAGCCAAGACGGCTCTGTTCAGACCGAGCTGAGGCGCACACTCGCTGTTCTCGTCACTGGTTATTTCAAAGACCTGAGCTACGGGCAATCTGCATCGGGCAAAGTTGAAAAACAGGTCCAGCCCCCATCACGCAAAGAGCAGTGGTCAACGTGCGTCTTCGCAAGTGATGTGAGCTGGAGAGTGCCATTACGGCGCCTAGTCGCGTGCAGCTCGTCGAAGAGGGACGTTGTTTGCTTCGCCTAGTACCTTGGAGGGGGACCTCCTTGGGAGTTTTGGTGCTGGCTGGATGGACTTTCCGGAACGCGAGCTGTACGGGCGGTTCTCATGTGAAGCATGAATGCAGTCGGCTCCGCTTCCAGAATCTCATGCGTCGAGATCGAGAACCCACAAGCACAGCACGTGGCCAAGCCATGCCAAGCGCTGGGCATATGAGCCCGTCTCCGGTGCGACGAAAAGGCCATAGAACCTCAAGTAGTCTGGATCGCCGAGTCCAACCTCCGCTTCCCGCCGTGTACAACTGAGGCCGTGTCATCTGACCATAGTTGTCACCGTAGTTTGCGGCGCTGGTCAAGGCCTGCACCAAGTGAAACACGCGCAACAAGCCGAGCAAACGATTTACTGAGTTGTCACAAAGAGACTTCTGAAATGGGAAGAGCTTCGGGGCAAAGAGCAGCGAGTGCTCTATATGCGATAACAAGAACAACGGGCCAGCAATGGCCCCTGCATGTTAAGTAGATTGAAGAACGGGCTTGCTGCTGCACATTATCATGCATGTATTAGTATTGGCGAGATGCGAAATCCTGGTGCCTGTTCCGGAAACTGCATTCACGAACACTCACGACGACCTTTCGGTTTTCTCACCCACTCTTTTCCATTTGAATGATCGAGGGGGACAGTCCAAGAGCTGTCGCAGAATCGCCGGCCCCAACCGCAAGTTCTTGTAGATATCACAAAGTTAGATGCCAACAGTTGGGCTTGAGACAAAGATTAAGAGGCTTTGTCCCTGCTTTATTCAAAATTTCACGCACTGGTTGACACCTCGATTACGACTTCGACATGCTGCATTCAATTTGTGGAACTGTCGATGCTGCATGTACGAGACAGAACATGTTGTACTCAACGAGCTGGTTCAACCTTGAGTGTCAAGGCAGTGGAACATTCGAACTTACATTGCATTCAACTTCCGCCTTTGTCATCCTCTGTCATCTGGAATATGCTATGTGCCACCTATGTATGTCCTTGCCACAAATCAGGAGCCAACGTCGACCACGGATCTTCTCAAGTCCCCTCGCAGCTGCGCGCACTCTCTTGCGTGTCGTGCGTTGCCACATGGCCAGCGGTGAGGCATGATTGCGCCAGTCTGCCACACGTCGTAGCAGTCGTAGCACTCCACTTCCGCGAAGGTGCTACTGTTTACAAGCAAACCCGCCAAATCTCCAGGGCAGCGGCAGTTGCAAATTCTTCCAAATCCGGCGAATCCGGGAAAGCCTTGTGCATTGAAGTTGCATGTTTCACCTTCTGATTCAGCTTTGACCGTCTCATTTGCTTAAGAGCTGAGCTTGGCACAGCTACTGCCAGGAGATCAGCCAGAGTCTTTCCTGGAAGGTTGTGCCAAACCTGGCTGGCAGAATTCACAAAGTCTGAGCCTCGGTTCAGTTGGGCGAGCCTTTCTCACCAAACCAAGCGGCTGGGCTCCGTTGCACAACCAGGCAGTGCCTGGCATCGCGATGTACGCTTTCTCACTGAGCCATCGACACTGGAAGCACAGCAAGCTCAGCAAAGTGCCACGGTACCATTGCTGCAAGAATTGTCCTCGGAGCATGGGTAGCCTGCACACGTGGCTCTACCCTCCCCACAAGCCTGGGCCTACAAACCAAGCCCACGGATGGCATGCCAACATTCCTCCGGCCCTTATATGCGAAGGAAAGGAGGCGAAGCCTACGCAGGCGGTGCTCGGAGCCTGCCAGGGCTGACAATAGTTGGCCCCGAAAGCAAAACGGGTTTTTATATCCTGTACACAACACATGTTGGCCTCGGACCAGCAGATGGCATACTCACCAAGTCCGGAGACGCTGGAATTTGGAGGGCCTCAATGATGAAACATCGGGCGCATTCTGTGCCTTCACTTCAACCACCTGGCCTGCACATCCTCATGTCGCATCGCAACTTGCAAACTGTGAATCTTCAAGACATCGAGCTTACCCCCAATGCAGGCTCCGCATTTCTCAGCGGCTTCTTCCTGAGACCGTCAGACCGTCCTGATCCCAAGGAAGTCTGTGCGGCGGGCCATGAGGCATGCCCAAGTCGTAAGTGTCGAAAAATTGTCCTCCGACCTCTGGTCACTCGCTTTGGTGTGTGCTTTCTAACGCCTCATCCGGTCTTTCCCTGATCTCGCTTTGAATCTCAAACAGCAGGAATGAAGAGGAGACTTTTGATAGCCCATCACAGAATTTCATGGTTCTGAGTTAATGCCACGTCATCCTGGTCTCTATGAACAAAGCGATGCTAGAACATACTAAACTAACCACTTTGGAAGCCTTCCTGGGCTGCAATCCTTTTCAAGCAGTCAAGATACTGTTCCAAACGGCCGACGGTCTTGATTTACAGCGTCTGGCACCAGTGCAGCTAGTCGCCGGCAGGGGCCTACGATTCTTTGTCGTCCGCCTGTAGCTGTAGCTGATCGTCCATGCCGCTCTTGAGAGTGGTCTCTCAACATATGCCTTTCTGGCCAACCCTGTCAAGGGGCACTCAACCACAAGTTCATTGGCTTCTGTAGTCGTCGACCCTACGTCGGAAATCGTTTCGAACCAAAGAACAAGCAATCATCAAATTATTATCCGGACCGTGTGTGACCAGAGTCTAAGCTGTTCACTTGCACGGCTCGAAAGATCACGAGATGATTGATTCATTCATGCTATTGTCAGCAGACAGGAACAACAAGCCAGGTAGACATGCAGGCCCAAGTTCGAGAAAAAGCATGAACTTCGGATCCATAACTCCTAGAGTCCATCATGCCCCAACGACCCCGTTCTTAAATCTCGAGTGCAGCGCCAGCTGAGGATTTGTGACGCCAGGCCTGGTCTGGTCTGTCAGTCTCAGCATGGTACAAGGTGCCGAAAGTAAGCTCGTTCACTGCTAGCTGCTAACATGTTTGGCTGGTTGCGTTGAGCATTCTGAGGTACTCATCGTGGAAGGCTGCGTCATGCTTGGCGTCGGGTTGGGCGAGAAGGCTGGGGTGTGGTAGTCTTTGCATGTTGTTTTTGCCTTGCAGCAGCATGACTTGTGCTATATTGTAGTTTTGAACCATAGGCGTTCGTTGGTGGCGACAAGCAGCCAAGTCGTTTGGTTGGTATGCTGAAGCTGTGAGAGAGTTCAATCTCAAGATTGCACTGCCTACTGAAACCTGTTGTGAATGAGTTTGGGCATGGACCTGGTTGATTTGATGAAAGTGATACAGAACTATGAATCAAACTGAACCAGCGATGCGGCTTCAGAAATTTGATGAATCAAATGGTTGCATCCTCCTCCGCGTCCTCCCCCTCCTCCTCCTCCTGCCACGACTACACTACACTACAACAACTACTACTTCTCCTGCTACTACTACTTCTTCTTCTTCTCCTACTACTACACTACTACTACTACTACTACTACTACTACTACTACTACTACTACTACTACTACTACTACTAGTACTAGTACTAGTACTAGTACTAGTACTAGTACTACTACTACTACTACTGCTACTCCTGCTACTCCTACTTTTTCTTCTCCTACTAACTACTACTACTACTACCACTACCACTACCACTACCACTACCACTACCACTACTACTCCTCCTCCTCCTCCTCCTGCTGCTGCTGCTGCTACTAGACTTACGCGCCTCCTGGGGCCTGGTAGTTTTTCAGTGGTTCGAGGGTGTCAAATGCTGGGCTTGTGAGAGTTTTGAGAAATTGTAGTTAAGCCAACTTCAAAGAAACTAATTACTTGGCTGTATGCTGTATGATGATGAAGACGATAAAATGATGATTATGAGGATGATGATGAACATGGTCAGGTTAACGATGATGTTGAAGATGATGATGAAGATGGTCAGGTTAACGATGACTGAAGATGGTGAGGATGATGAGTGGGTGGGGCGCACATCGGTTGTTTCGAGGTTTTGTGTTTGCAGAGGCGCCGCTGCTACTGCTACTGCTGCTACTGCTACCGGCGCTACTGCTTGCGGTCAACCATGTCGTTATTGCCCCCCCCCCCCCCCAGCAAAACGCAAAACAACGCAGAAAAACAGAGGTTAACACCAGACGCCAGCGGGCTCGCATAGCTACTACTGCTACTACTACTGCTACTACCTACTGTTACTGCTACTACCACCACTACTACTACCACTACCACTACCACTACCACTACCACTACTACTACTACTACTACTACTACTACCACTACCACTACTACTACTGCTACTGCTACTGCTACTACTACTACTACTACTACTACTACCTACTGTTACTGCTACCTACCACTACCATTAGTACTACTACTACTACTACCACCACCACCACCACCACTACCACTACCACTACTACCACTGCCACTGCCACTGCCACTGCCACTGCCACTGCCACTGCCACTGCCACTGCCACTGCCACTGCCACTACCACTACCACTACCACTACCACTACCACTACCACTGCCACTACCACTACCACTACCACTACCACTACCACTACCACTACCACTACTACTGCTGCCTTCCTGCTGCCACTGCTACTGCAACTACTACTGCAACTGCTACAGCTACAGCCACAGCTATGGCTGCTGCTGCTGCTACTGTTACTACTACGCTGAAGCTACAGCCACAGCTATGGCTGCTGCCGCTGCTACTACTCCCACCTGCTACTGTTGCCACGACTACTACTACTAACTACTACTACTGCATCTACTGCTACTACTGCTACTACTATTACTACTACTGCGACAACTACTTCTTCCACTGCTACTGCTGTTGCTCTACTCTAATCTACTCCACTCTACTCCATTCTACTCGACTCCTACTACAACAACTACTACTACTGCTACTACTACTACTGCTACTACTACTACTACTACTACTACTAGTACTACTACTAGTACTACTACTAGTACTACTACTAGTACTACTACTAGTACTGCTACTAGTAACTAGTACTACTACTACTACTACTACTACTACTACTACTACTACGACACTACCACCACTACTTACGCTGCTGCTGCTGCTCCTACTGCGAGTAGTAGTGGTAGTAGGAGTAACAGTAGTAATAGTGGCAGTACTATTACTGCTTCTACTGCCACTACCACTGCCACTAACTACGACGACGACTACTACTGCTGGTAGTCTCGTGCTAGTGCGACGATGACTACTACTCTTCGTGCTCCTCCAGCTCCTCTTGGCTGCTGTTGCTGCTGCAGCAGCCGAAAGGATGCCCCGGGCCACCCCATTGAATCAACCCGGGTTCCGGGGGGCGTGTCGTTATGCATTAAGAACTCAACACCAATTGTGTATGATAGTCTATAAAATGAGTGGCAAGAAACAGGAATTCAACAGGCAGTGCTACATAGCAACGCAGCTGAAACCTGCTGCCTTATGATGAAGCGCTGCATTATAGAATCTCGGGGGACCCTGCAAGACAAGGCATGCACCAATGAGCAAAGCTGCAGTTGATGCTTCCGCAAGGACCTTGGCAAACAGAAATAAATTAAGCGTGTTTGAGCTCAAAGAAGTCGCGCTTTGCATGCCGCAGCCGATAACACAACTTCCGTAGAGTGGCAAATGGAGTCTAAGATTCCAGCTGCTGCTCGGGTCTGCTACGTCCTGGTAACGATCATGCTGTCGTGGCCAAGTCCAAGTGCTAAGTTCCCTACAATTCCTGCATGTCGCCACGACACCACACCACCGAGTCGATGCAAATCCCATAGCGATTGTACCACATGTGCCAGAAAGAAACAACAAGAGCCATGGCCAAGTCCCGTTTGACGATGACCACTTGGCTCTGTTGAGCCGACCTTCAGCGCGCATGTCTGGATTTGCTTGACAGAAGTGCAGTAGAAAGCCGTCTCCTTTCCAGACAAGCTATACTGTTGCGCGGCTGCAGATAGCATGTGGGCTCGGAGTCTTCTAGTTTGGGCTGAGCCTGCGGAACAGTGTCCTGGTGGGCAGTGGCCGAGTGCCATGAGGCAACGTCCTTGTTGAGTAGAGGGTTTTACTTTACATTGCAGGGCAAGTTTTGGTGTGGCCTTCAGAGGTTGACTCCATGATGACGCGCAGAGTCAAGCCTTTGACAACAAACGTCAAATCAACGTCAAAGCAAACGAATGTGTGTCTTAACCTCTGGCAACTGTAACCGACGTTGTGTAAGCCCATCAATATCTTTGGTAAGTAAGCATTTTTATTTCATGATTCACTCGCGCTCGACGGCGCAGCGAGCTGGGGGAACGAAGGGCAGGGGGGCAAGGTTCGGGGCGATATGCCCTGCACACATGCAAACAAACATTCTGATGTTGATGCATTGTGCAGATGTCTGCAGTGAATGCGCCCCAGCATGGCGTGGACCCGTCACACACAAACAAACAAACTCACATACTTAACTTAAACACATGTGTGTACATATATGCATACATATATACATGTATATAGATGTAGTATGTAATTTTGCGGTGTTGGCCGGGGCGGGCAGGCAACCAGGACCAGGATCGCAAATCGTTCGGCAAGGACTCGCTCCATCTTGCATGCTCAGGCTCCCGCAATGCGACGGCACCAAATAACCGCACCGAGCAGCTTACACCGTACGCGCAGCCTTGCTGCGGCAGGGGACTCGCAGGCAAACGAGACTGCGGCTCGAGTGGCCCTTCGGCATGATGTTCCGATGAAGTTCGGCTGGCTCTCTTTGAAGCCGCCGCACGCGCAGTAGGGAGCACGCACACGCTTGGTGCCGAGCTAGCGCCGGGCGCTCGTCGCTGTTCGTAGCCCACACCTCCGAAAGCTAGCACCTTACGAGCGCACCAAGGTCACAGGTCCAGTATGCAGAAGAATCGTTCAGAAGCTTGACTGATCGATCTGGGCATTCGGATTCCAAGTTGATGCTTGCTTGCAGCAGCACGCGTATGCACGCGTCGCCAAACTACCCCTGTGTGGTGACGATGGCGAGGTGACCGTTGTGCTGCGTTTGCTGCTGCATCTTGCCGTTGGAAGAAGTTGTGCTGCTGCTACTAGTACATGTATTGTCACTCCCAGTCTTACATGGAGAGGCCCCTCATGATGCCTTTCTGGACGCAAGCTTGTGCCTGGGGGGTTGGTGGTGACAAATACAATCCTGGGGCTGACTCGAACCTCATCGCGGGCTATGTTGGCTGAGTTTGAGGCCCTCTGATTGCCTGTATCGGCGACCTGGCGAGACAGCTGAAGGGCTTAAAGCCTCATTACCATCTAGTCTCTAGTATAGCGATTTGAAGGAGACCAGCTCAAACCGCTGTAAATTGCCGACCAGGATAACCATGCACGCAAGGTGATGCAGTGCACACAAGCTGCGAGCACAGTACGTGCCGAGTTCACCACAAGCGCGCCAGTGGCAACATCCTCGGTCCAGACGGTCCGCGCCAGAGTACGCTATCCGATCGCAACATTACAAAGAGTTAGCTGTATCTGCAGCTTGAGCGGATACAACTGATGCACCAAGAAATGAAAGGACATGTGCAGAGTGGATCGCAGGCGTCTTCCTGAAACAGCAGCCTCTTTGTCAAGTCCAAGCTTTCAAAGGCCATCGGGCATATCGAGGTCAAAACAGCGTGGACGTAAACCTCTATCTGTTTATCTACATGACATGAATCACAGCCAGGATGCAATCACAAGCCCTCTGGGACCATCCAACTCGTGAAGACCGGATCCACCCAATGGAATGCCCTGAGTTGAAGGATGCTCACAAACTGACTGGCTTCGTTGTCAGACTGTCGAAAAAGCGTGTGGAGCGCAAGGCAGGACGCAGCTTGGGCTCCTGACTCCTCCGTCGACAGAGGGGCAGCAGCACCTCAAAATGTAGTTGGCATTCCGGCGGATGTTGGTTTTCGGGGAACGTTTGCAACGAAGCACCTGACCCGGAGACTCTCTTGACTTTTTCTGCACTCGCAGGCTGGATTGACGAGAAGCGCTGTCGACGCACGTGCTTTCTCGGAAAGGCTGCGTCAGGTACCGAAGTCCAGTCGGGAGTGCCGGAGTGAGCGCAGATTCGGGAAACTGGAGGCCCAACCCGGTTTGCAGGACGCGGTCAAGAAGAAGCAGGGGCAGCTCGCGTGAGCTGCAACAGTGGATGCAGGACAACAACGAAGGCTCAGGAGAACTTTACGGCTGGTGCGCCGGTTTTGTTGCCAAAGATATGAGCATAAGCTGGGACAGCCAGCACATTTGTTGCCGGGCATCGCCTGCTTCCTTCCGCCTAGTGAAACGCACCGGGAGAAAATCCGATCTTCGTCAGGCCTTGCCCAGACTGCCTCCGATTGGCTGCTGCACAGCTGTAGGTTCAGGGCTGTAGGCTCTAACCGACATCGGGGCAAGGCCAGATTCGGACGTGTGCTGAGATTGGAAAAGCCTTGCAGCTCAACAGGTACCTCGGCTGAGTGCATGAACATGAGTCTTCTGTCTCAAGGGTTTCGAGCGGTTTTGGCAGATGACCTGTATATGATGTAAAACAGCCATGTGGATGAAGCGATGCCACACTGGTCGCGCAAGCTGTATTAAGCTGCATGTGATCGAAGTTGAGACTTAGCACCCTGGATGCTCGTTCGACAGCACCTTATTGAGAGCAGCTCCTCCATCTTTCCGCGACCGGTTGCAGTGCCCTTGCCCTCCTGCTCAACCGACCAAATGAATCTCACACGAAGCTATCGAGACTGTTGTACATGAGAACTACTGCATGGGCAGCGACAAGGGGCTCAACCAGCCGGCTAGATTGACAAGTGCTGTTAAAAATCAGGTCGCTGGATCTGCCAGCTTGCCTTAATGGCATTCTCTCAAGCAGCACCCGCCCAGCGTGTGCGACGTTAATGGCTCATGCAGAGCACCCATTTAAGGATTGAAGAAAGGATGCACATGACCCTACTTTGTGCCACTTTTGTCATGTCCCCTGCAGCTGAACTCCTGGAGAAAAAGCCTTGCATCTAACTGCTAGCCAGCTGCTGTCGGACTTACAAACTGCATTCCGTTCTCTATTAAACTCTCCTTAGGTGCTCCGCTTAAGCACGAAGAACTTGCCACACTGTTGAATCGGCATCTCCATCCTTTTTGCAAGCTGTTTCAAACAAATCGCAGGCAGGTCTTGCGGGGCGGTTGATTGCGCTGACCTCTGAAATTCAGGATGGGGTTGCTGTAACAGCTTGGAGCGGTCGCAGTGATAGCCGCGCTCATGGCTTGGACATCTCAGTCCTGCGAGGCGATTACAATGATTACAAACCGTGAGCAAGAAGAGGGCTGCGCTCGAGTAGCTGTGCGGCAGTTGCCTCAGATACACTACGAACCCGACTTGGGATGCTTACGGCTCTGTTTACGCTAGTGTCAGTTATGCTGCGGCTTACGGTTGTTGAGGAAACTTGGCATGGGAAGACCACAGTATTGGTTGAGGTATCAATGCCTCGGTCCTGGGCCTTCTCCTCTTGAGGCTGCTGCTCTCTGGCGTAGATCGCCCTGAGCAATGATGTCAAACAATGGCTGGAAGTTGATGTTTGAGTTGCTGATTTCCGGCATGCTAACACATAAACTCTGACTCTTTGGCCAGCCGTCCTGCCGAATCTCATGGGGTATTGATGCGCCCGGCCCCTACAAGATGTGCCGAAAAGCCTAGCCAACGAGATCTGATACGGTAACATGACCTGGACCAAGTCCGGAGCACTATATACCATGGGGCAGCTGCCTGACGGATTTGGAAGGCTGCTGGACTGATTGCAGCAGTTCATGCACTGCCACCTTCTTGCTGTGTTTGGTGGGCGCCCCCGTGGTCACCTACCAAGCCTAGTATACAGAGAATGGCTTTGCCTTCGAATCTCGGTTCATTGGCCTCTCGGGATAGGTTTTACTTGGAAATGCTGGTTGCAACATCGAATGAAGGCGAACGCAGCTGGAGTGCAGAAAGCTAACGTTGCCAAGAGTCTTGTATGCGGTCGGGAATAGCGTCTTGATGAACTCAGAATCATCAATGGCCTCAGTGGGCTGTGCTTGGACCTTCTTCGATTGGTATCTGCTACAAGCTGCCGCTGCGAAGGGCAAGAACGTGGTCCAATCATGGCATTGCAAGGATAGCTGTATCTTGCTCGTTCTCGTGGCTCGCATGAGGCTTGCAGCAAAGCAACTCCACTTCCGTCATTGTCAAAGGCCTGGAAGACGTCGTGGGCACGCTCGTCTTTTGCTTCGACCTCCAGCCTGTGTTCAAGGCAACTGATGCTGCCACTCTCTCGGCTCAACAAAGAAAAGGTCGCCATGGCACTCTTTGCAGGTCTTTTTGTCACTGGAAGATACTGGAAGCATCTGCAAAAAAGCTATGGTCATGTTCCTTGAAGAGTTGGCACATCTGCAAATTTGAAAGCCAAGACTCTGTTGGAGCATGCGGCCTCAATTCAGTCATGCTCGCACCAAGAGGGATGATGCCTTTTAAGCCTGCAAGACTCCTGCAAGGTTGCCTGCCACGAGCACTCGAGAAATCCTGAAAAGTGCTCTCTACGAAACCGAGTGCCAACACTCGGACACGGTGCGCTGCCGTTCCATCATGCTAAGTGGAGCAGAATCCAGCAACAAGCAACCAACCATCCGGTGTTGAAACACACACACACACACACACGCGCGCGCGCATGCACTCGAACCAGGCAGGGCGTCCACACAGACTTTGACAGGTGACGAAACTCGTCCATGGACAGCTCACCATCACCGTTCTCGTCGTAGTTGCCTCCGTGCAGCACGATTGAAACATTTCTGTACCCGCTCGTACTGACAGCTCTCTCCCGATTCCGGGTATGCCAACTTTGCGTTGCCCCAGCCCCAGATCGAAGATACAGAAAATCATCCACTAACCACAGCTTCAGCAGTTGCATGCTGGAACACTGTACCACAAACGGACTTCCACTCCTTTTCTGTCAAAGCTGCAAAACAGGCCGGGAATGTCCTGTGGATCATATCCGACCTTGCTGCATTGCACTCGCAACCGGGTATCCTTGACATTCGCCTTATTGATGGTCACACACCATGTCACGGAGCAGACTCGCTCTTTGGCCAAGAGGCAGTCGCGAATCGAGTCCTCGTGCTGGGCTTGGCTTGGCTTGAGCAGATTAGGCGTTTTTCACATCTCGTGCTCCCACGCACTGCCAAGTCCACAATTCGAGCGGTTTTGCTGCCGGTTTTGCACAGCAGCCTGCAGAAATCCGCCGAGGCCACAGGCCCAGGCGTCTTGGGGAATTACCTCAGGTACCTCCACCTAATCCTCCTCCCTGCATTCCGAAAATTTGGAGACACCCTGTTTTTGCGTTCGTTTGCCACCCCCTTGCCCGGCTTCCCTTGTTTTGCTTGATTTGTAGGCCTCCTCCCCCCTTCTCCAGGCCCCCCCCTCCCCCTTCCCCCACCTCCCCTGGCCGCATACCAGCAGACGTTTGAAGGTTAGGGTTGAGAGGCCATGGTGTTTACGACATCCACTGCCCCCTGGCCGCTAAAGAGCCGAGGTGGGCGGCGTAGCGTTAAAATTAGGTTGGCAGTCCTCAGTCGCTGCATGAGCAGGAGCCTGTGTCGGTCGTCCCAGACAGAACCGAAGGCCTCCCACATCAAAATGCAACAAGCATGTCGATACCCTGGACTTATGCCTGCTTTTCGTTCAGCCAGTTTTCTTATAGGTGCATGGTTTGTTGAAGTGGTTAGAATCACAGCATCAGATGCTATCACTCCGAAGCAACACGTGCCTTTCCCACAATTCCGATAGGCATTGCCATGTATATCGCGGACCTTGGATCCACTCACAAAGGATTTCAGGACTTGTCCTTCCATGCAGGAAACTTTCGGGCACAAACACCAGGTGTTAAGCTGCTGCCGGGTGGCACTACGATCAGAACACAGACCACCATGTTGCCACCAGAAGACTTTGGCACGATGTCTCCATACCCGACAGTGCTGAGTGTCCTTGTTGGTATCTGATCGTGTATGAATCTCTGTTCCGGAACTTCCGTGATGCATGGACGGGCATGTTGCAAGAGCTCCACATGCTGCCTGTAGTTGTTAACAGCTTAGCCTGACTGCCTGGCATGCATTGTCATTGACATGCTCAGGGACAAAGGCATGCAGCCCGGCAGCACCATGGTGAACCAAATTGCTCTGGGCATGCTCTCGATGTTGCCACCTTGGGCTTGGGGCGTGCAAGCAGCTAAAGCTAGTGAAGATGGCTCCCGACTGCACATGTTTTCCAGACCTGGGGCGCCTTTGCAGCTCTCCAATCGACTCCAAACCTCATCACTCAACCTCTGCATGCTCAAGAAACTAGGCGGCCCTTTTCTACCTCCTTTTGAGCGGAGCTTGGAAGACCTGAGTTCTGTTTGGGTCTGCCCGGTCTTGGTCTTGCGAAGGTCGAAAGAATATGGCCTTCCTTTCCTTGTGACATCCGGTATATCTGCTTTTGCCGAGGCGCTCTCCGATTCCAAGACATAGATGACGGAGGAGAAGAAGAACACCAGCAGCATCTCAGCACCGAAGCTCGTTGCGCCGACTTCGCCAGCGCAAAAAGAAGATACAGTTGAGGAGCACGTGCGCAAACTCTTGAGATGCCAAAACCGATCCCGTGCAGGAAACTCGCCACTCAAATCTCCGAGGGTCTGACCATGCAGTAAAGCAACGAAGGCAATGCCTCATTTCTTGTCTGGTGTCTTCAAGCTTTCGGAAGCAGCCACACATGCCCCCACAAAAGTCTCAGATACCCCAGACTACATTTTGCTGGGTTTACGCTTCGTTCGATAATGCGGTCCAAGCCACTCCCAAAGCTTCGGAAAAGGCCTGTTGGATGAGGTGGCT